TTTTAGAAAACAACCACAGCTTTCTCAGTTTTGGCCTCAGCTGTGTCGGACACAACGTGGCTCCTCATGACAACAACAAATCCAATTTTGAGGCTTAATAATCATGAAGGAGGAAACAGGAGCAAATGAAGATGAGCTGAAACACAAATGATGCAGATGTTTGGAGGACCAAAAATACAAGAAAGTTACAACCTTTAGCATTGGTAAACAGACTAAGCACAGGGGTTATTTGTAGAAGTCTGGTGTTTTGTTGATGCTGAGCCAGTGTGAAGGAGGCTGCATGAAGTCAGTAAGAAAACTGGCCACTAGATGGCACCAAGCTGCATGAAACAAAGCACTTTTTTCGGTGTGAAAGCAAATTAAAATGCACCGAGGTTGCACTTTGAAGTCGGTACATCCAGTCCACGTGTCTAACCTGTTTGTTTTTACATCAGAGTCAATAACTTACAGTCTAACTTTAAAATAACAGTTATTGTAAGATGATAGAATTCTGAATTATTTAACATTTTAGTGGTATTACACAGGAGATGGGGTCAGTTCTGATATTTTCTGTCTGTACTGTATCTGTGGTGATATCAGGCTGTTTTGTGTTTCCTCGTCAGAGAGTTGGAGGATTTCATTCTCTCACATCGAGAAGAAAATGATCACGTCTCACGGCAACAAGAAAACCTGCTGCGAGAGCAACGCCACCAAATGCTGCCGGTGAGACTCTTTTTTTGGTTTTTTTTTTACATCTTCTCACACTCAGTCCGATCATTTTATTATAGTTCAGACAGAATCCTTATTGATAGGTCTGATAGCAGTATTGATCCAAACCGGCAAAATATCGACTTCATAATGACTATTAGAGTATTTATAGAGCATTGTCAATAAGATAACACAGTATGCTAGATTCAACAACAATTAACGAGAATTTTGCTCATTTATAACTAAAGGAGTCACACTTTTGATATAAGTTTGGAATAATTAGCTTTGCTCTGGGCCTTGTTGTACTAATTTTATCTCCTGTCTTGCAGAAAGCAGTGCTTAAAGCTCCTGAAGTCTCTGATTGAGGGTCTGAAACAACGTTTTCCCGACGAACTGGATGATCTGTGTTCGTACCACGGGAAGACCGTCTTCCTCCACACCCTGTCCTCCAGGTTCTCCTCAAAATCCTTGTTTGAAAGTTAGAATTTTACTAGATATCAACGCAGAATAACTGCTACAGCTATAACTTATTTGCAGGGTCTGAGTCCTTCTGACATGTTGAAATGTCCTTAAATTACAGTGGAGGATAATTTAACCTGAAAAACAAAAGGGATATAGTGGTAGCAATATTAGTAGTGGTACCACTGGGAGTGTGCCTGAAAAGACATCACATGGATCACTGTAAGAACAACTAAGACACAAATGGTAATATTCTGGCAACTAAAATAATAGAAAACAACCAAATTCCTATTTCCAATTATTAAAATACATTTTCCAATCTTAATTTTACAAGGCAAGCGAAACAAGATTCTAAAGAAATTGTCGATTTAAAATCCCTTTGTAAATGTATTTTAATTTCAACAATAGTTTTATTTGATAGAGCTGAACAGTTACATTTAAATTTACTAATATATTTTTAATGAACTAAAAATTGTGAAGTTACATTGATTTCTTTGTTGTTCATTTTTGGTTTTTTTTGGTTTTTACAGTGTGAACATACCTGCAAACACAGAGACAAATATATATAGATGTATAAATATTCCTCCCCCAGTCATTCATTCAGATATTTCTTTCCCTGTCATTTCATGTCTGCCAGGTTCGAGGACTCCATGTGGACCCGTCAGCAGCTGCCCTCCTGCTTCCTGCAGCTCGTCTTGGCTCTGGAGGATCGCGCTCGTGAAGGCTTCCTTCCTCACTTCTTTGTCCCTGAATGCAACCTCTTCTCTCCGGCCGTCTTCCATCGCAGAGGGCTGGCTTTCCTGGTCAGCGCTCTGGAGGAGCAGCGGAGGGAAGGTCTGCCGCTGCTGAAGCCTGCAGATCCAGTTCCACCTCTGAGACCAAAAACCATCTCAGCAGAAACCTTCACCGAGGTCTCCACTGAAGAGTCTGCAGCTGTGAGGCCTGCTGTTGGGACTAAACTGGTCCTTATGTTTGCTGTAGCTTTGGTTTGTCTCTCATTTCTCATACAAACGATGGGAGCCGGCAACAATTACTGAAGACATTAGACATAAATTAGGTGAAAGCATGAAATAAAGGATATTATGCCATATTTATTTCACTCATCCTGCAGAAGACATAAATATGAACTGAGCTGTCACTGTGGATCTCATTTTATTCTATTTCAAATTTGTAACTAACTATATGAATGGTACGGGTATATTTAACTACATTAGAAATGTTTCCCAAGTGGATTTTAGAAATGTGCAATGTGAAAGGCAAACTACTATCATTGTTTGCCTTTAGTGCTAATTATTTTTACAATTTTTAAACATTATTATATATTGAGCTGCTTTTAAAGAAAACTTTTAAACTTTTTTCACATATTTAGCCATTTTTTTCATTACTTATTTTAGATGATTAATAAAAATTCCTGTTTATAAAAATGTGTTTTCTATTTGAATTTGAAATAGTTTTTGCTCAATTTATCTTCTTTTTACATTTTGTTTTAATGAAATGTCTTTTTTGTGTTTTAGAATTAGAATAAAACTTTATCGATCCCTTCGGTGCAAGACCTCAGGGAAATTGCTACACCAGAAAAAAAACAACACAACACCAACATAAAATCAGCATAATTTTTTTTTTGTTTTTCCCATTTGTTTTGTTTTTTAACATTCTGCTTTCTCTGTGCTCTTGTAAACATAAACAAGTGCATTAACAATCTTTCCTAATCAAATAAAGATCCTAATTACAGTCAGTACTGTGTCTTTTCTTGTTGGTGTAATAATTGCAATAACATTATTTTAAAACAAGAATAAATGGTTGCAGTAAAGTATATACAGTGAAAAAATAAAAGCTAGATGGACAACTAATGACGTTTTCCAATTGAAGAATAATCTGATTTTTATTTTCAAAAATAATCATTTAGAAAACAGAACTTTTTCATATCACAGTTTCAGAGAACAATTACTCAAATTGCTAATTTTGGCAACTAAAACTCCCAAAACAAAAATATATTCAGTTTAAAAATATATTTTAAAAATGGCCTTAAATATAAAGCCTTCATAAAAAAAAAAAAAGAAACAAAAATAAAAATATTGGCAAATAAATTTTAAAAACTAACTGTGAAGGATGCAGCCCAATAATATTATTGAATTTGCAAAATTTGTCAGACTAATTCAGATATTAAGGTTAGGACTACAGTATTATAGACACAATATCATTTAATCTGTCAAACTTAAATCTTAGCATTAAGAGTCTACAGTGTGATGAACTCAACAAATGTCAAACTATGTGTCAATGGAAAATGATTTTAGAATAATACGATTAAAAATTGTTTTTATCACAATTATTGAATTGAAACGACTGACACGACTTTTCACTATCTAATTTAGATTCAGTTTTAATACAATGATTTAAGTTAAACAACACAAATGGTAAATATGTGATGCAAATTACATTTTTAATACAGTTATTTAAGGTGAGCGGTTGAATGTATTCTATTAATTTCACGTTTTGTATTGTATGTATATTTTGTGAACACGGAACCTTTGCGTTGTTCCCACGGTGTTATATCGACCCTATTTGCGGCGAACACTACACTATAAAAGCTTTTCGCCGGAAACGAGACGCCCTCTTCTAGTGATCCAACATGGCGGTGAGTAGCGTCTCACATCGTACGATGGCGATCAAATCTGAAGTTACAGTTGAAATCCACAATCATCCGAGCTGCTGGTTCATTCTAACGTCTGTTTAGTGTCGAGAGGCTTAGACTACATTATGAACAATCAAACTAGAGTCGTATTTAATAAATAAACGTTAAAGAATAGTGTTAAAGTAGAAAACCTAGTGATGCTAACGTGCTAGCCGCTGGAAAATACGCGACAGCCATACAGTTAAAGTTACTACAGTGAGATTTCAGTAACGTTAGTGCCGCTAGTCCACACGTTAGTTGTGTCTGCTGAAATTTTGTGTGTTTTAATGTTATCTTGAGGTGGTTGTTAAATTTCCGGACACGTACGAGCTGTGTGACAGAGCGAACAGTAGCAGCAGCGGGGATATGTACGGACATGTCCTCCGGCCGGCATGTGTTGGTCCGAGTCTGTCTGGAGTTAGATGTTGGGGCAGAGCAGGTCGCTGTCCGGGGTTTAGAGAGAATAAGAAACCTTGAATGTTAAACTAAAGCTTGAAATTGCTGTTGAGTTCCTCAAACTAGCCTTCTCACGCATGCTAATCTGTTAGCCGGGCAGCTAGCAAGTAAAGTCAACATGGCAGCAGCAGTAGACAAGGTGTGAGCGCTTTCCAGGTGTCTAAGTGGCTGCTGTGGGTTTTAAGGCTGCTAAATCTGCCCAGCGATGAACTGATCTTTTGTTTTGTCTCTTCCAGGACCAGGGTGAGAAGAAGGAGAACCCCATGAGGGAGCTTCGCATCCGCAAGCTCTGCCTGAACATCTGCGTCGGTGAGAGTGGAGACAGACTGACCAGAGCTGCCAAGGTGTTGGAGCAGCTCACCGGCCAGACTCCCGTCTTCTCCAAGGGTCAGTGTCTGACTGTGTGTTGTGTCAAATGCTTGATAGGCTCAAGTGTACCAGCCTTGAGGTAGCTTGTCACAGTGCTGGATTTGAAGTCTTTGCTTCCTCCACTTGCAGCCCGCTACACTGTGAGATCCTTCGGCATCCGCAGAAATGAAAAGATTGCTGTCCACTGCACCGTCCGTGGAGCCAAAGCAGAGGAGATCCTGGAGAAGGGACTCAAGGTGAGCCAGTCGCAGTGTCTTCTCCCAACTTTGTTTCTCTTTCAACAAGTTCAAGACTCGTAACAGGCTGTGGTTTTCTGTGAAGTAACTTCTTCCCAGATAAGATTCCCAGAGCTTTCCTTCTCAGACTGTTTCAGCTAAGACGTGTTCTGGGTTGATTAATGTTTGACTAGTTTAGTAATTGAACCATGGTGATAGTCATTTCTCAGTTTCTATAGTGTCAGTAATTAACCCTTTTCCTTGAGTTATGTGACGGTAAACTGTATCTTTGGTTAGTGGTTGGCACTAGTCTTTAATTAATAATGGAAGCAAACAGTAACTGCGACATTTGAATCAGATGTGAGTGGGTTTGTTTTTGCATTATCTTGACCCCACCACCCTGTGAAACCTCAGATTGAGAACCATTGAGAACCCCTAGTTTGTTTCCCGCAGTGAAGAAGCTAAAAATAAAGGACAGAAGTCAGCATAGTATGCAAGGAAACAACACAATGCATGAAATACTGAAATTCATTTTGTGTTAACTTAAATTTATGTTTTTTTCTTTTCTTTTTTTTTAAACCTACAGTCATTATAATGCAACAATTGTATTGCAAAGCATACACACAAGATGTAATAAAGTAAGAATAGGTTTTTAAAAGTGGTAAATGTAGTTTTTTTTGTTAACCTTAGCTGTTAAACTTTAACTGTTAACTGAACTTTAATATATGTTATTATTTATGACTTCATAGCTCTTACACTGTTGTCTTTTACAAAAAATATAATACACTGAACATGGTCCAAAAACACTCGTTTTCTGTCCATCTTTGGCGGGAATTAAATCCAGTTGCTGTAAAACGGTTCTTCTCTGCTGCTCTGCTTCCAGGTGCGTGAGTACGAGTTGAGAAAGAACAACTTCTCCGACACCGGAAACTTCGGCTTCGGCATCCAGGAGCACATCGATCTGGGCATCAAGTACGACCCCAGCATCGGCATCTACGGACTGGACTTCTACGTGGTGAGTGAAGTTTGCAGCTTTAGACTAATGTGGTGGGTTTGATGTGTGGATGGGAGCTACTAAACTCCACTGGTTGTGAGTTGATTGTATGTAGTGGAGTTGTGTGGGTATGTGGTGTTACTGTAACGTCCTACAAACCAGAGAGGCACATCTTATGAAACTGTTTTTTGTAGTTTCAATATATGAAGTGTTTTCAAGGTTAACTCAACAGTTTTGTAACTGAATGTTAAATATGATGTCTGACGCGGTTTTCCGTGAATTTATTCGACTAATATTTCCTGATGTAATGCTCACTGTAACAGCCGGTTTGTCTCGTGTCACAGTTAGCCGTCAGTTTGTAGCATTCGGTTGAGATTATTACAAAGTTTTATACTGAGCAGTTCATCAGAAGACTACAGGACGGGTTTATTGCTTTCTGAGAGTACAGCAGTTCGACTAATGAACGTTTCCATTTGTGTGTTAGATGTCCTCAGTTGGTGTTCAACAGAAAATAGTTTTCTAACTTAAATGTTTCCTTTCTTATAATGGCTGGACAGTTGTTGAAGCAGGTTATACCTGTGCAAAGAGCACATTTTTTACATTAAGTGGTGTTAAATATGCTTTTTAGCATCTTAACATTTTATTTATTTATTTAGAGCTTATTAAATTTACATTTATGACTGATCAGGTTTTCTGAACATTAAAGCCATCAGTACTGAAGTCCGGAGCTCAGTGCTTCAGCCTCATGAATGCAGTTTTCTTCTTCTGTAGTGTTTATATGTGCAGCCAAAGTGTTTCTGAGCGTCTCTCTTCTTGGCGTTCAGGTTCTGGGCAGACCCGGCTTCAGCATCGCCGACAAGAAGCGGAAAAGAGGCCGCATCGGTTTCAGACACCGCATCCGCAAGGAGGAGGCCATGCGCTGGTTCCAGCAGAAAGTGAGTAGAGGAAGCATGGAGGTGTTTCTAGGATTTGTTCAGACTTTTCCTGAACATTTAAGGGAAAATAAAGCAGGAGGGAAAAGGTTGCTTCAGTTAAAGTTTCTGCTTCCGACAATGAGCGACATCAAATTCAAACAGCTCTAGCCCTGGACATGTGTTAGAAATGATCCATCGATAGGAATGTCTTTAAAAGTGTCCATGAAAATAGGCCGGTTTCCACTGCAGCAGCTTGTAGGGCAGCCAGACCTGTTCACACGTTCCTGTTCACGGCCGGAACTAGCTTCAGAGCATCTCTGTAAAACCAACGTTAGCTTTAGAGGACAAATGCTAATTGGTTAAACTGGAAGAAAACAACTGCTGTTTTTCTGCCGTCTTGAAGCCCTTGTCTAGCAGTTTTTACCTCTTTTATCAACAATTTTAGAGGTGAAGCAAAACCTCCATAGTAACGACTATTTGTCATTGTTTTGGCCACTTAAAGCAAACGTCATGGTCGAAGCTGTTGCACCGCAATGGAAGCTAGAAGGCTTCATTATGAGGCCTTTAGTGTAAACATTTGCTCCCTTTCTTCAGCCTCCAGTTCCTGCAGCAGAAGTCCACATTAATTAAATAAATCCTATTAATGTTTTATCATCTGTGAATAGTGTGTTCTTCACATTTGGGGGATAATTTGCTGAAAATGCAGTTTCACCAGAGTTGAGCGAGAAATTAGCTTTCATACTTTGGGTCACTAACAGACTAAATGACTCGTTTGTTTTCACCATTTGTGGTTGATTTTTGGGTCACAATCATACTGTAGGACACTGTCACTTTATTTTACTTTATCCATTTAACTGAAACCTTCTCCTGTTTGTGTTCTGTTTCAGTATGACGGTATCATCCTGCCTGGCAAGTAAAGGACCACCTTTTGATCTTGTTTGTAACAAAGTAATAAAATGGGAAAAAATCAACTTTTGTCTTGTGTTGTTCCTGCAGTAGGTGAGTCTCTGTGTGCAGCGTCTCCAAGCCTCCAGACTTGGAGCTTAAATCAGGTTTAGATCCTAAAATGAAGCATGAAGTTCCTTTTTACCACATAGCTGATGACTTGACTGCATAGTTGCTGTTGCTGCCGTCAAGATTATTAGAATTTACAGGTTATCTGCAGGTCTAAAAATTATGTTTCTCAAAGATATAAATTTCCTCACAAATGTCTGAATTATTTATTTTTTGGCCGCTGTGGCCTGATGTTCAGTAGGAACTGTTTCTTTATGCGATGGTGTTTGTTGGGAGACAAATGTCAAAAGAATTTTTAATACAGGTTTATGTAATCTTGAACCCAGGTCATTGTAAATAATTAGCCTCAACTATCAGGATAAGTTGTATTTAAATACAGACAGTAATGTTGACTTGGTTTAATATGAATATTTAATAATATATATTAAATAATATCCACTGATGTCCAATTAGAGCAAAATGCCCCCAGAAGTCTTCCAAAAAGTTGGTACTTGTAGTCCTTACTGTCTCTACTAGTTTCCATTATTCTGTTGTCAGTGTGCCTGCGAATAAAAGTACTAAAGTGTGTTTTAAGTGACATTGAAATGTCTTAAATTTTATTTAGCAGTTTTAGTTCCACCTGGCACTGTTGCCTCGCAGCAAGAAGGTCGCCGGTTCGCGTCCCGGTGGGGGCACCGGAATCTTTCTGCGTGGAGTTTGCATGTTCTCCCCGTGCAGCGTGGGTTCTCTCCGGGTTCTCCGGCTTCCTCCCACAGTCCAGAAACATGTTGAGGTTAATTGGTGATTCTAAATTGTCCGTAGGTGTGAATGTGAGTGTGCTTGGTTGTCTGTCTCTAAGTGTAGCCCTGTGATAGACTGGTGACCTGTCCAGGTGAACCTGCCTTCACCCTGAGTCAGCTGGGATAGACTCCAGACCCCCACGACCCTAGTGAGGATTAAGCGGTGTATAGATAATGGATGGATGGATAGTTCCACCTGTAATAATGTGTGTTGTCGCCATACTAACAAGTTACGGTTTCTTACTGGATCATTTTTTTGGCCTTTTTCAGCTGCTGACGTGATTTTGTTGCAGTTTGTGTTGTGGCTCTTTAACCACACGGAGGCAGTGTGGTGCTAAAGTGTCAGCAGAGGATTTATTTTCAGACCACATATCTGTTAAAGTGCAGCAAACCGATACTGAAAGTGGGTAAACCGAGTTATGTAGATTAAAAACAGGATGTTCCACTGATCAGGAGACAGATGTGTTTGTCGCTGAGCGAAGAAGTGTTTTACCTAAACGGGTAAAGGTGAACAATGTGAAAAGTTATGTTCAGCTACAATCATTTATTATCAATAGTTATGTGGTAAAAGTTCAGTGACAACAAAATATATTCACAGCTTGAAATTTATTATTGTGCAATCACTTATTTTTACTGTTTTTATTTTTAATTGATTGACTTCAAAGAAATCTATTTTTACTTGGACGCTGAAGAGTCTATTCTGTAAACTTTTTTTTTTTAAAGCTAAATTGAATTGACTGTGATTCAATGCCAATAAAAGGGGGGGGGGGGGGGACATTTTAAACAGTCGTCCTCAGATGTATTCATCCCCTTCCATTAAAGAAAAGGCAGAATCCACAATAGTCACTCAAATAAATAGAAACTGGAGAAAGTCATAGTAAATAAAAATTTGCTAAATTATAATTTAGTGAAATAAGACATTGCTTTTGAATTGTGGGTGAAAAGAATAATTTAAAAAAACAAAAAAACTGTCCCAGACAAATGAGAGCCCTTTGCTGATGAGCAGTGGTCCAGAACACCTGTCAACAGGTGCAGAAGTCTGACTGAGAGTTACAGGAAACACCTGATGGCAGTGATTGGCTCAAAGGGTTGTTCAACTACATACCAGTTCACGGGTCCCATCATGCTGGGTTGCTTGTTTTTTTAATATTTCTGTTGAACCACAATTCAAAAGCAACGTCATGATTTTCATAACATTTTTATTTATTACTACTTTTGTCAGTTTCAACATATTTCTGTGACAGCTGTTTGTTTCCTTCTTTAATGGGAGGATTATGAAGACATCTGAGAACGACTGTAGATGCTGTAGGTACGACCTTGTTATCAGAGACTGATGTCGGCTCCTTTAGCAGAAATAACGTGAGCTGTGATAAATTTGCATGCAGATTAAAGCAGAAGAGCTGAACACGTTAATAAGGAAACAGACTTGATGTGTTTGGATCAGATTATCTTTATTCAGTGAAACAGAAACCAGCGGCTCATCCAGAGCCGGCACAAATACAGAAATTCATCCTTTTTGTATCTAATTATATTTATAATTAACTCTCCACAGTCTCTCTGGTTCTGCCGGTTGTCATAATTTCAGTAAAAATGGGACGTTTTCGGATGGACAGGTGAGCTGTAACCTAATCTTATATTTTTTTTTTTTAACTTTATTTGTTGGATGTTTTACTAGATTTTTTTCAGATTTTTATTCTTTTATTTTATTCTCTTAATTTCTTGGGTAACTGGTTGTCACACGCTGAAGCCAAGGTGCTTTTATTTTTATTCATTTATTTGTTCCTCCCTTGCCATTTCCCTTATAAAATATTTGTTTTTAATCACTATTTTTTTTTCTTTATTTTCTTCACATTTGCGCTACACTACTTCAGATATCCCATAAATAAATAATCCAATAAACACAGATTTGTTTATTGCTGGCCTGCTTATGGCCTTGTGAGAAGTATTTCAAGTTTGCTGGTGATAAATTGCCATTATTGCTGGGTTTGTTTGGTTTTTGTCAGATATTGGCTCATTTTCCTGTCGCGGCCACACACTCCATCATGGCGTCATTCACTCGTGCACACACACACACACACACACATGCGCGCTCATTTTTTTTTTACAGCCACACACTCTGTTTAGATACATCTTTGTACACAAACTGCCAGCGGATTCACAGTGACGTCTGTTCAAACCAAATCACCTCCAGCACAGATTACACTCCTGTTCCCTTCTTTCCATCCTCCATCATCCACCTGCTCGACTCTGCTTTTTTATCCACCTTTCTTCTCATCTGATTCAACTCATCCTTAAACCTCCACTTTGGACCATGCAGGCTCTTTTCTCTCTTGTAACACCAACACAGATACATGCAGCATTTGCACATCTGCAGCTGGTTGCAACTTAAATTAACCTTTGATTTTAATTTTGCTGGAAACCATCAAATCGGACAAGTTTAGGAGCAAAGCTTGTTCGAAATAGTGTCAATATTTGGAATTAAACTGCAACTTCTGGAATAAGACGTAACAAATTTCTGAATTAATTTGACATAAAAACGCTCCTTTTCACTTCAGGAAACTCAAATGTTTCGCTCTGATAACCTCCTTTGGTTTAGATTCTGGTTATTCATGATACTAACCCTTATTTTTGCAATGCAAAGGGCACACGTGTGTCAGTTTGTGACTCCTCTTACGTTTTATCATTTACCTGTAGTTGTCTGGTTGCCAGAAGTTCCATTGTCTGGCTTTAAATGGACTGTTATCTTTGTTATCAGTCATTTTCAGCCTCTAAAATATCATCTTATTTGGTAAAAACTCATTTATTGTGGTTATCTTAGAAGTGCTGCTCTTTGATTTTCTTTGTCTTGCACCTTTATACTGTTTATACAAAGTATGTGTGACGGAAGTTCTTGAAAAAACTCTTGTTTGGTGTTAAATAATGAAACTTTTCCACACGTGCTAAACAGAAAAGATGTCAGACATGATCCAGATGTTGTCCTGAGGTTGAACCGTCCCTCCTCTTTCTATGCAGTGATGATTTGTGATGGAGTCACGCTGCTCTCTCTGCTCCGGTTCTTCCCGGCCTGCTGATGGTCTTCGTGGCCCGGGGTGTTGCGGTGCTGCCGGCGTGGTGCGTGGCGCGGCGGCAGGGTTAGGGCGCAGCACGACACTCCCACCGTGGGTTCAGGCAGATCTTCGGCCATGGACCAGCTGTCGGTGGCCGGGTCGTACTTCTGCACAGCCGCCTTGTAGCGCTTCTCGGCCTCGTTCCAGCCTCCCAGCAGGTACAGCTTGTCGGCAAGCGGTGACAGACCAGCGGTGCTCACGCCAAGGCGCAGCGGAGCGGCCCGGCTCCATGATCCACTCTCCGGGGAGAAGGTCTCCACTGAGAGCACATCCACTCTCTCTCCACTGGGCCCTAGCTGGCTTCCTCCCACCACGTAAACCTTCCCTCCGAGGGTGGCGGAGCAGTGCCAGCCGCGAGGGGTCTCCATGGGGGCCTTCTCGGTCCAGGTGTCGGTGTCCACGTTGTAGCAGGACACAGAGCGAGAGTAGGCGCAGTTGATGTAGCCACCAGTCACCAGGATGTCACCGGAGGGCAGGGTGGCGCTGGAGTGGCAGCAGCGGGGCACCTCCATGGGCGTACGCATCTGCCAGGTGTTGGAGGAGGGCAGGTAGCTCTCGGTGGTGGCCAGCAGACCCTCCACGTTACGGCCTCCGATGGCGAACAGGCGACCGCCGCTGGCAGCCAACGAGAAGTGGGTGCGGCGCTGACGCATGCTGGCCAGGTGCAGCCAGGTGTTGAAGCGAGGGTCATACCTGATGGGGTTAAAGCAAAGAAGGGAGTCAGTGAGGGGCAAGGTTACAAAACGGGCAGTCAGATCATTCTGCATCACAGAATGGTCTGCGGCACCTTGTCATCATTGTGGCGTAGGAGACAAAAAATGCTCCTGCTTCTTTGTATCCTTTAACTATGGATGTCCCAATCCAAGCCCAAGATAGCTTCGGCCAATCAAGGTGTTTTTTTAACCGATAGGTATCACTCCAACCTAAGCCTGATCTTTGTTGACATCGACTGTCATACAAATACTGTAAAGTGACAGCCCAAATTGTGGCGATAGGGAAGCAAATTTTCAACAATTTTCCCTAATAATTTGTAGCATCATCAATTTATAATTAACTGGTAACAAAATTTGAGCATAGTCAACATGTGTCCTGTGCTGATATCACTGTTTTATTAAATGGATCCAATAGATTCAGCAGTTCTGTTATACATGCCACTGAGTAATAAAAACTGTCCTTGTCTCAAAACGTGAGTTCTGGATGGAGGTCATTAGGTGCCGCAGAAGTCTTTGTCATGGTGACAGTGCTAAGCCCAGGATGTAGCAACGGTGTCCCCTCAAAGCTGACCATCAAATACCATATGTGCCTAGTTGTTTGTGATGATTTGAAAAGTACATTTCCGTCCACCCACCTGCTCAGGGTGCTGACGGCGTGTTTGGCCTGGTTCCTGGCATCGTTCTGGTCCTCTCCTCCGGCCACATACAGGAATCCGTCCATCACAGCCACGCACTGATTGAAGCTCTTGGCAGGCAGCTGGGTCAGGTGGCGCCAGCTGGCTCCTCCGTCACGAGGGTCCCTCCACAGCACCTGAGGTCAAAGTCGGTGAGACCCAATGGTAGTTATTACCTTGCTCTTACAGCTGATGAGCTTCACCAGAAGGGCTACATAGTTTATGGAATGGGTGAATCTAGCTACGATTAAAAAGGCACTATATAAGATGCTAATTATTCCACCTTGGACCTTCATGGACACTGACCTCACGGCTCAGAGCTCTCTCGGTGAGCGATGGACGGCCTCCGATGGTGAGCAGAGTCTGCTGGGAGGCTCGGACCTGCGTACGCCGGGACTGCAGGGTGTTCTGCTGGTAGGGCAGCAGGTGGTAGTTCATGGCGTCCACCAGCAGCCGGTGGCACTGAGGGTCCATCATCATGCGGGGCACCGGCTGGATCTGACTCACCAGCTCGCTGGCAGGGATGGTCTCGAAGCGAATGTGGGACAAAAGCTCTGCGGCATGAACCTGGCGGGTGGCGTCGAAGTCGAGCCACTTCATGGCGAGCTGGAGGTGAAAAATAGAAAATAGGAAGTACAAATGATTTGAAGTGCTTCAGCTATTCAGAGTTGACAGTCTCCACATGTTTCACCACTAAGATTGTCCCAGTGGACCACAACAAACCACCAGTTTAAGGCCTGTCCATGAGGACTTTGGCCTCCTGGTTGCTTCAAGCCAGTGTGGTTTGGTGAGTTACATCAGGGCCCTGATACACCTGCTTCCAGGTAAAGTTTACTATTTGCACCTGTGCTTTTTCCTGCATTTCCCATAATGTCAGAGGTATCTGTTACTCTAAGTGCAAGTTTCATTCCTGCTTTTGACTCAGATGTTTTAAGGAATCACCAGAATATCGGCAAAGTTTGGCATATATGTCTAAGTGTACATATTGGAAAGTGATGAGCCTGCAGGTGGATGTTGGGGTGGTGGACGGGCCAACAAGGCAGCCAGGTTATTCCAGATACTTATAAACATTTCTGCACGACCATCTCTGAGTTGCCTGAAGTATTCATAGCTTAAAATGTGGATGTTTATCAAGATAATTGTGAAATTTTAGCTTGATATATGAAATATTTTTTGAGACAATTTTTCATTTAACTGCCCATTAATCCACTTCAAGTGTTTTTTTTTTTGCACATTAAAATTTGAGGCTGTTTGAACAACAATATCTCAGGAACTATTCAAGATACAAGTCTGAAAATTTCACTGTTATTTTTCTTTATTTTATTGATTCAGAATATAAAATATTGGGCAGGTAGATCAAAGAGTGTGTTTTAATTTTGGTGGTACAGCTCATCATACCTTCTCCATCAGTTATAAAAGTTCAATAAAATTAGCTTATTTTATTTTGTGACCAAGTTTTTCATATTAGAAAGTATTCTATTTGTTTTCTGTTGTATTATTGTGACATGCGGCTACATACGGTTTAGAAAATATCACTAGTTGGCTATTTCCCCTCAGGAATCAATGAAGTATTTCTGATTCTGATTCAAAGATGGGACTTTCCATAACAGCTTCGTTTTTTTTTCATATTTCTACTCACCCATAATAGAGACTATTTCATCTACTCATGTTGCAGATTAATCTACTAATTTAAATGATCAGAGTGTCTAATTATTGTAATCTGTGAACAGTGAGTGTTTCCATAAACTGACTCTCAGCTGTTTGTCAGACGAACCACAACTATAAACGAGTCCAGATACAGTTCTGTTTCACAGAGCTGCTGAGTTATTCACAGATTCACATTTGGCCCAGATTAGAAATACTAATCTATTAATTATTCTTTCCCTCTCAGCTGCTTGTCTATTTGCATCTCTAATGAAGTTGTGTATTAATAAACAGGCCCGTCCTTGCATACAGTGCGAGCTAAACTTGTTCTGTTCGCGGTGGACATGCAGGTTTGGATTCATGGATCTGCGTTCGGCTCTGAACAGCTGGTCTCAGGTCTGTTTTTAGGCCTGGATGGAAATAGAAGGAAGTCCCAGAAGGTCGACGAGTTAATACTGGCGGTGTCAGCAGCCGCCTCCAAGAAGACCCGACATTTCTTCGCAGTTAAGATTAGAGCTGCGACGATTTATCGATTAATTGTCAGCTATTAAATTAATCACCATTTTTATGTTTTGTGAACATTTCTTTCCTCTTTGACAGAACAAACAGAATATTTGTTAGTTGTTGTTTTAAACTTTGGGATCACTGATTGACATTGTTCATATTTAGAAACCAAACATGCACCAAATTAATGTTTGTCATGAAAATAGTCCACAGATTAACCAGGAATGAATATAATCAGTAGTTGCAGCCATATTTAGGTTATCATAAAAGAACATTATGCTCCTGCTAAATCATAGATTCCTCTATTTCCGCACTGTAAAAAAAACCATCTGTAATTTAAAAAAAAATGTAAAAATGTCTTAGCAAAAAAGAAAATAATAAACAATGAAATATTGTATTATTAAAAAACTGAAAATAACATATCTTTCAATATATCTGTAAAATAATGGTATATTTGCTGATTTAGATGTGATCATACGGTGTAAGAACAAATTGCTATTTGTAAAATTTGTTTGATGTGAACCTTCTTTTGACATTTCTAATAGTTAATATGTAATTTTTTTTCTGTAATTTTAAGATTTATTATCTGTAATTTTCCAAAACAGGTAAAGTCTGTAAAATAACAGTGATTTATTCAAAGAAATGAGGTTGAAACTTTAGTGTCTTACAGTGCAGCAGCTTAACGATCATAAAACACAGACTCATATTGAACTGACACAAGGTATGTAGGAAAAACACTGTTGCATATATACATGTGTGAATAAGAACTACTGTGCTAGATAGAACAAATATTAAATAAAAATATATAGAATAAGATGAGACAGAACGCTCACACTTGTTGCACAGAGGAGCTACTGTTCAGCATTTAGCAAGAAACCTTTAATTTGGTTTAAATTGGACTCCAGTGTAAACATTAGCTGTGATCCATCATCAGATCCTGACTTGTTGTTTGACCTCTGACCTGGAAGGCAGCGACCTCTGAAGGCAGCACCAGCGAGTCGTCCTGCAGGAAGGCTGAGATCTGCTCCAGGGTCAGCTGGGTGAACAGCGGCGTCTCGGCGAACTGCACGAAGTTCTCCAGGACGAAGCGGCGGGCGGCGTCGCACACCGGCAGCAGGCCGTAGGCAGCGGCGATGTTCCAGATGTAGACGCACGTCTGCACGTTGAGCTCAGCCAGCAGGAAGTCCATGCACATCTTGAGCAGCTGAGGGATCTGCAGGGTGGCGGCGGCGGAGACGGTGCAGCCGATGGTGTAGAGGGACATGTGAACACGACCCAGGTAGGCGAAAGTGATGACGTTGGCCAGACCTGCAGACGGAGAGAGGGATGTTTAACCCACTGTCATCAGCATAGAAGCTCACAATAACCCTTTGAACTATAGAACTGGTACGATGGTTTAAAAGCAGGTTATTTTTCTTTAAAAAATGCCAAAATTATACCATATCTTAGAGCCGGAAACTTGAAAAACTGTCAGATTTTCAACTTTCTAAGTATCCTTGTGACTGTACATCTAGAAAATGAATCAAATGTAAGTTTAAAATTGTGATACTTCATGAAAATCAGTTTGTTCTACAAAAAAAAAAAAAAGAAAACAAACATTTCAAACCAGATTTAATTTTAAAACAAACAAACAAAAAAAAACACTCCTTGAATTCAGAAGCGTTTGTCGACGAATCTGAAATCAACAGTTATGTAGAAAAAATCTGAGACTGAGAGGAAAATAAAACATTCTGGATCATTGAAATAAAAGCAGCATGTATACAGAGGAGCAAGTTGTTGGAAGATACATTCAGCCCGGTGAAACATCCTCTTACATTTACTGTACAGTGTAGAGTGAGAAACTTTAAGGTTATGAAAATGTAAACAGCAAAACGTCTATGGCATGTCGAGCCACTGTTTTGTCCAGTATTGGTAACACTTGCAGGTTTTTGAATTCTAGAGAAATTGGCTCAGGAATTCAACTTCAGTTTTTGTTTTTTGAAAATTGATGGCATCATCAAATACATCTCTGAGTTCTTTCTCCGTCTTCATGGTTGAGCTGTTTCTACAGAGGTGCAGGACTTTATGTTGTAGTGAAAAAGGAGCTCCAGTGAGTAAAACTGCGACAAGAGCTCGAAGGATTAAGATGAAGCCACCAACTGAACCCTGGATGCAAAGATGTCCGGAATTAGTAACTAAAAGACTCTCGTTGCTGGGGTTTTTGATCAGTAGTAAGTTGCTGGATGTTTAAATGGACTTTATCTTCTTCATGAGCTGAACCTACCCAGAGGCGAGAGGGAGGGGAGCTCCAGGCGCTTCATGCCGGGATCTTTGGCCAGAATCTCTCTGAAGTACTGGCTGACTGAGGAAATGACCAGTTTGTGGACGTCGAAGGCCTTCGTCTTACAGGCCAACTCCAGGTCAGTCAGGAACCTGAGGAGGACACACAAACAAAGGAGATCTAAAGCAACAACTCGGGAACACAACACCACCGATGAGGAGATGAGCTTGTATCAGCACTAACTTCTCCTGACGCATCTTGCTGAGCTCCTCCAGCAGTGAGTTTCCGTGCAGGGGTCTGGTGAGCTCGCTGCCCAGGCCGAGGCCCCTCTCCCCGGGCTTGATGACGGGCGGCGGCAGCGGCAGGTTGAGGCTGTTCAGCTGGGCGATGTCCAGCGCCGCCATCTGCTCGATCTTCTTCACGCCACTCTCCACCACCACCACGCCGTCGCCGCGGCTCTCCACCTTCAGTGGGGCGGTGGCGGTCTCCGTGGCGACCTGAGTGATGGTTTCCACGGCAGCCTTCTTGGGGCGGGAGGCCTTCTTCTTGGGGGCCATCGTTTGACTGTGGATGGTGTAAAGTTTCATTAATAATATTTAAGGAACTGACCTACACTGTAAAAAAACTGCTTTTTTTTTAACCGTAGTGTTCAAATTTTTTTTTTACAGTTTTGCAGATTTTTTCAGTTTTGTTCAATTACGCATAATAGACGGTAAAATCTCTGAAAACATGTAATAATTTATGATAAAACCATCATCAGAAATCTGTTTTCATAAATAGGAACTTGTTTTTTCAATATACAAAAAAAAAAAATACTGTTTTACATGATGAAATCAGTTAAAAATCTAATTATTTTACAGATATCTGCTGTTATTTTCACATTTTTTAAGTTTCAGAAAGTCACATTAATTAACCATTTTTAAACATGCTTTTTCCGGCCACCTTTCTAACAGACTTTCACAGTTTTTTTTTATGAGATTTGTTTTTACTTTACAGTGTAAGTCGCACTCACTGAAGAGCCAGCAGTGACTTACTTTCACAGTAAATGGCACAAACGCTTTGGTTTGGTCTTCTTTAGGACAGAAGGAATTGTTTCAGCGGACTGAACTGGTAGCTTCAGATCAAAGTGTGAAGATAGTTTGGGATTTTGTCGGTGGTTTCACTTTAACACAGCACACAGCACCTGAAAGAAAGAGGAAAAGATAAAGACTTAACTGTATGCTGCAGAAAGAAAAGGCTCATTTCAGGGTTATTATTCTGAAACATTCATGATTCATGATTAAATGTACAACAAGCAGCTTCTTTAAGTTTAATTTAAGACTTCGCACAGAGAAACTCAGTGTTTCTGTTTAATAAGGACAAGATCCTAATCATTGCATGAAAACACCTTTTTGCATTCCAGGAAGAAACCAATAAAAAAAAAAAACTCAGATAAAAACAGTGCAGACAGAAATTTCCCATGTAAAATGACCAAAATGAATCAAACGCTGGTAGAAAGTTGTGTAATAAAGTTAAACTGATGACTAAAGACACGTTTAAGGCCTTTGAAAGTATTTTCTGATTGGTTTCTTCCTTCTTTTTTGTCAGTGTGTCTTTATATTTTATTGTTTGTGTGATAAACAACCGAAGCTCGCCCACAAATCTCCACTGCTGTTCTGTTTTGTGGTCACTTAAGGCCACATCGATCCCTCTGACAGTCGAACATTTCTCTGCTAATCTCTGCCTCAGATCGACACAACAACCGGCTGAGAGTCGACACCTTTTTCTAAATCCCGCCGAGGATCACCGGAGGACAGACTGAGTCTCTGAGGTCCAGGAGCTGTGAATGACAGCAGCGAGTGTCCAGAAACGAGGCTCAGCTCGGGGTCAGGTTTGTGGTTTATAGCTGCGTTCGTTGCCGTGTGTTTCGCCCACAGAGCAACTGAGGAATCCTGTTTATGTTCGCAATGAGCAGAAGTCTGCAGACGGTAGCAGGTCAGAGCAGAGAGGCGACTCACAGGGCGGGTAGAGGAGTGCATACCTGAAGTTTTATCACGGTTTCTTTGCACTTTTTGCATCTTGCTGGTTTAATTGTATATGAAGAAAACACTAATGTTGTTGCTTCTTCTGTCATTTGATATAAAAATCATAGAAAAAGACTTAAAGCCAGTTATTAGCTTAATTCAAAGGTGTGTACTGTATAAATCTTTTGCATTTTCTTGTTGTGCAACTAGTCTGCAAACTCTGATTATGTGCAAAAGAACGTTTCGGATCTGGTTCCAGTTTTGGCGAATGAAAGGACGACTTTCTCCGACTTGTGGGGTATGTAGAGAAGCAGATTCATATTTTTGTTAGTTTACAGGCCCACTAGACCTTTCTGAAGTTTCTAAAGCTTCTAATACAAGAAACACCAGAATCTGAACCCTTTTGAGTTTAGTTTATTCATTTTTCAGAATAGATCGCTTGATTTAATTTATGGTTTTAAAATTAAAGCACAAAAAACCCACGTTAGGTCTGTTTTTGATTTCCAAACCAAAACTGCAGTGACTTTAAAGTCAGATGTTCAGCAGTGAGTCCTCCCCAGTTTGTTAAGGAGCTTTAAAGTGATCTGGACGTGTGGTGATAAATGGAGACGATGAGCTTCGTTTCTGGCTCCATGTTTGTTGATAACCGACTGAGCCAAGTTCAGATGACCTCAGTGTTTTGATGAAAAGGCAAAGAATTAACAGTAACCACAGATCCTGAGCTCTCAGCCGGTTACACATGGTCTTCTCCCACTTTAAAGACTCTCTTCTTTGCTTTGGCCAGAAAATATCTATCAGAAATCAGCTGTTTGACATAAACTTTCCATGATGTTAGCCAGACGTCCCCTGGAAGGTTGCCATGAATGTAATTTGGATATGAAAACTGAACTTTGCAGCAGTTTTGCAGCAACGTTGCCAAAGATTAGCTGCAACTTTCTGCCAGAAACCTAAACTTTTTATGAGGATCAGTCATGCTGGCAATGCTAAATAATAACAAGAGCAAAGGAGGAAGTGAAACGATGTGCTATAATTAGCCACAAAGTTTCCACTGGGAGGAGGTCGGGGTGGATGGATGGGTCAACAAAACACTGGACTTCTACACAGAGACCACTGTTTGCTCTTTATGACTCAATGCACAATATCGGTAAAGCTGTGAACAAGGGTAGAAATTAGACTAGGTATTTTAAGATAAAGTCCATACAGGGAGGAGATCGGGGTGGATGGATGGGCTGACTAAACATTGAACCCTCACAGAAAAAACACAGTTTGTTTCCCTTTTCAAGCCAATAGTCAACCTTTCTTTGGGTCTCGAATGCTTAATAGCCTTAAAACATGCAACAAAGGCGCTTTATTTTAACCAGAAATGTGATTTTTCCTTAAACCAGACCAATATGTGTGACTAAACCTAACCAATGCAAGGTGTAAAGTATTATACCAGTGCTATATTTACATCCATCAGTGGGGGCACAGATTCGAGAAACATGAATCTCTTAAACCTCCCAGGTAGTCGAAATGCCAGCTTGGTGTTAGTTGTGAACTACTCGCCTCATGGAAAAAATATTCCAACACCAGCGACCGAGACACGACTGACCACAGATGTATGGATGATTCACCTCTCTTTCTGCCCCCTTAAATAGGACCAGCAGGCTCCACACATGGACAGAGCTTTGGTTGGAGGCAGGACAGTGCAGGACGGAGCGGCAGCTGTTGTCGGTGTCATATGAAGAGCTCACGGTTACAGACCGTATAGGCTTCCTGGGATGTTGCAATCACTTCCCAACAGTTGAAACGGCAACGTCCTGCAGTCAGGACGCCGTTTAGCCTCATTACATCAGACGCTGCAGCACGGAGACGTTTAAATCTGTGGGTTTGTGCCAGAAGTTCTGTGACTTTGACCGTCTCAGTGTAAAGATCACAGAGGGCTAATAAAAGCATGAGTGGAGCATGAGGACGACAAAAACATATCTGACTAAATAAAAACAACACGAGACAGAAGAAAGTCTTTCATACATTTGTACTGCCTCAGCAATGGGATAGTGTGCCAATTTCTGCAAAGTAGTTTTTATCAACTTTACGACCAGATAAAAGCACCTTTTCTGGTTTCACATTGTAGTTTAATTCTGTCTATGCAGGCAAACTATCTGGGACCAAGGTTAGAGCCTCGAGCAGCTGCAGCCCTCAGCCCTCCTCCAACCACCACCATCGTCATCAACTAGAAATATACTGTAACCAGCAACAGCATCTCCTTTCAAAACAGCAGCAATAATAAGGACTTATAATCATCTGAGATCGTCATCAGACAAGCATTTGTCCATCATTTTAATGCCTCCCTGTTGTTTTCAGCAAGATTATTTTTTTTGCCTAGAAATTTACATTTTCTGTCATCTTTTTGTAAAATGTTTCTCAAACCAATTTTAATTTTTACACTCTTAAGGTAAAACAAATTCACTTAAATATCACAAAACCTTGACATTTTTTTAAGCTGTGTGAACATGTAGTATTTGGGTATATTTGTGCTTTAATGTATGCATATTTGTTTTTCCTTTTAATCTAGATTTTTAGTTTTACAATCCAAGTTACTATAAATGTTATATTAATGAAATGTAATTTAGGATTGTAATCGGAACAGTGGAAGTGCAGTTTAAACACAACTCACTGTACCAACTAAAACAACAGTTCATTTATTTTATATAATGAGCACCAATATGATATTTGGGTATATTTGTGCTCTACTGTATGTGTGGGTTTTTTTAAATTCTCTGTATTTTTCTTTTCTTTTCTTTTCTTTTCTTTTCTTTTCTTTTCTTTTCTTTTCTTTTCTTTTCTTTTCTTTTTTAAACTGTTACTTTGTTAAAGCTCATTTTCAACACTGTAAAAAGTATTTACTTGGATAATTTAAATGTGGCATTGACATAATTAACACCAGATTACACTGAACTAATGAGCAGTTATTAAGAAACGGATGAGTAAAATAAATTGTTATCAATATTTTTCATGCTATGAAGTATTTCAAGTGTCGCTGCGTTATTCTTATATGAGGAACTTGAGCCAAAATGTTTTGGAAAATGTAACCGAGCTCCAAAAGGTCGCAGGTGTCACCAGCAGGTCGGATGTTTGTCGTCTGACCCAGATGCTCTGCAGGTACCTGAACCAGAATAAATACTCATTTTTTAAAGCATTAAAGTGATGATTATCAGGGGCAAAGCTGCAGGTTTACAAATTCACAATATATTCTGCAATCCTGGAATTAAATTAAACGGTTCAAACTGGAGGAATCCATATGTGTAATAGATTACTCTGAGGACTATTAATGTAAACATCCAGCTGGACAGAAATAGATGTCCAGATGGTGGAAACGGCAGCCTCCGTGGACTAGTTATTTTATTACTTTCACATATTTATTCTCATCCTTTAACCTGCTATAATCACTCATTTGTATCAGAGTCTTCAAACTGACAACAAAAACAATTAACAGCAGGATTAGGGTTGAACAGATAACGAGCTGAACATAACTGCATGTGTTTGTGTCTCATTTCAAAAAGTAAAAGACACCGTTTTACAGTGTAAGAAAGGTTGGATGGAGGTAATCGAAGCTCTGGAGGCTCCTGCATGTTATTTTTAACCCTCGACCTCAGTGTTCTCGTGAATGAAGCAACTCTGACTGTATCAAGCAAACAAACTGACATTTTTTCCAACAATTGCCATTTAAAAAAAAAAAAAAAAAAAGCTTTTTGCAGAACAATAACTGAGTCTTTCCAAACAAATGATGTAACTTTTTACACTGTGGAGCTGCACAACACAACCACAGTCTATTGATTATGATTTTCTAAACATCTTTATTGTTCTGGTTTGATGTTTATGACAAAGATGTCAACTGGCAGAGAAAGGAGCTGATGTTAGTGTCCTGTCACCAGACTATTGTTTTATTTTTGTTTTTGTTTTTACAGCAAAACTATGTGAATTCTGAAAGAACAAACGAAATAAAAATCTGAATTCATAAGAGGCAAAACTCTCTGCAGCTGAATTTAAAACACAATCACTGCCTTTTAAATCAACCTTTAAATTTGACTCCAGGTGTATTTTTGAACTATGAATTAGCTGTTTATATGCTAAGCTAAGCAAACTAACGTCTGTTTTTCATATATACCTTTGACATTTATATCAATCTTATGAGCAAAATGTTATCACAAAAAAAGCAAACAACCTAATTTCCTGATACCAGTACTTTGTCCATGTAATATCAGATTTTTTGGCCATTGTACAAGCTATGAACTCCATAAAGTAACATATGTCTGTCATGTAACTTTCAATCACGTGTAAAGAAAAACATTTTTTAATTTTGATTGCTTCTGTTAGCTGCTTTGGAGCAAATAAACTAGGCTAAGTGTCACCAGAAGGTGGCGCTGTAGGTGATCTTTAATGACTGCAGGAAAAAAAACAAAATGAAGAAGATGAAATATCAAATAAAACTCTGACAGACTACTGATAGAAAAAAAGGTGTTTCTGTGTCCTAAGAAATAAATGAACTCTTTCCGATAAAGTCAAACCTCAAGCAGGCTTTGGAATGTTTTTTCAAGTTGTTGTTTGTTTTGTTTTTTTAAATCGTACTGTTTCGTTTGACTTGTGTTGCGTTAGGAAACTATAGCGTCACTTTATCATGCAGTTGCATCTTTGGAGTCATGTTCATGGTCACTTTTTGCTCTGTTTTTGGTCTCCACCACCTCAAAATGGCGCTCTGTTGCTCTTTAGCTGCTAAATCTTTCACTGTTTTTTCACAAACTCTGTCTATCTGCGCTTTATCGCTGAGCAGGTGCCATGCTGTCAATTTTAGAGCGTTTTTACCGAAAACAGCTGAAAACAAACACTGAGAGCAAATTGTTTTGGTTTTCCGATGTGACAGCTTAGCATGAGTAAAGTTTCCGGTCGGAGAGACGCTGAAGCAACCTTTAGAGCTAAGAAGAACTGCAGAAGTATGTGAGCTTATCAGTGTCAAATCAGAAAAACTTAAAGTACGTTGTTTTGTGATCCACTGTTAAGTTATGTATATATATTGCTTATAGACGCTTTAACAACAATGTGGACTGTAGGACCTTCAACAGACTTAAAGAGAATATTATGAGCTTTACCAAGTGTAACTATACTGTTTTGTATTGTATTTGTAGAGGGTTTCTTTAATTTTATCTACCATCTGTATAGTATAATATAGTGTAGTCACGTGTAGCAATATATACGTGTATATACTATATAGCCAATATCTCATCATAGGGAGGAGGTCAGGGTGGATGGAGGGCTAAAAAAGAAAACACTGGAATTTAACACAAACACACGCGCACACACATATATATCTATATCTATATATAGAGTAGATGCATGCACGTGAGCCCACAACACAACCACTTCTATCAGTTTTCATAGCTGGATTCTTTTGCTTATCTCATGAGTGTATTTATAGGTGCTGACCAACACACTCCATGCATGTGTGTGTGTTTTATAGTGCAGGATTGGATAGACAAGGACGGACACCTCCTGCAGTACAGTAATATCCCAACAGCAACTGGTGGCTGCTTCACATTGTTTCCATTCAGCAGTTGAATATTAATGAGAATACAGACGCTCATTAATATTACAAGGCTGCGAGATCAGCTCATATGTGAACATTTATGTGAACAGACAGGAAGATTTTAGGACTTCTCAATTGTTTCTTTTCACTTTAATATAACATTTTGTGGGGAAAAAGATGCAAGTGTTGATTTTAAGATTCAAAAATGTGTCCGTTCTTTCACCTACTAACCCAACAAGCCGTAATGTGTTGAAATTAAACGTGTTTTACCTCTTTCTCCTGCTCTTCTTCCCTCTGTTTGCTTTCTCAGCGTCTCTCCTTGTGCTCTCTTTTGCCTTCTTTCTTCTTTCTTTGTTTTTGTTCTCTCACAGGTTCCTCTTTGCTTCGACCCTCCGTCCTCCGTCCGGCTGCTGTGTGTGTGTGTGCGTGTGTGTGTTAGCGTGTGCATCAGTGTTTGTGGACTCAAACCGAAGCCGTGACGTAAAGATTCAACCTCCCTGATCCTCCAACCCCCGTCAGACCCTCCTCTGTCATTTTCCACCTCCAGCATCCACCTCCATTTCCAAATACAGGCTCCCCTCGGCGCCCTCCCCTCCAAAAATATCCCATAATAGGCCTTACCCAGCCTCGCCCACCCTCCCCCCAGTGCCTCGAGGGGTCAGGTTTTAGATTTAGTTGCTGTCCTGTAGATCTGCTCTCTTTACAATGTAACAGGATAAACATGGATCAAATGGTTCTTCTTAAAGTACATGGACTTCTTCATATATTTGGGAGAAAAATACTTCAAGTTTACTGTCTCAACTCTTCCCTTTTAAGTTCTTTCAGGCTGGTTATTTGTATAATATATGAGTTTGTTTCAGTGTGGTTAAAGCAGAAGGGATTGTTTGTTTTTTAAAGTTTTGACACACAATATTCACACAGTGTCACCTTATAAAGTTTATTTGATAAACTACACAGTTATACGATTCATCAGCGTGCACTAGAAGCAGGTAAACTACTGTAATAATTCTGTAGTAAAGTTTTATTTTGGCTCAAAAACAACTGGTTTGTGTTAAAATGAGTGGTGGATCATTCAATCTCAAATCATCATTTTTTTAGAACAACTTCTGCAGGACCATCTCTGATGTGAAACTTATGTACCATGTAATACGAGACATTACTAAAACATAAAGTAAGTTAAACTAAAACTAGAAGAGAAAAGTGATTGTGACGATGACACTGAAGTAGTAAATATGGCACATGATCATGAAATATTGCAGTGGACACACCCAGGTTGCACCGTGTAGACGATTAGTGATCAATGTTCACAGTTGCTATAGTAATAAATGTTGCTCTTGTTTAATTATTATGTCCAGTAGTAGGCAACGGTAATGTGACAATAAAAGCACATTGAACAAAACAACACACCAGTACGTGTGATCCATTTTAAATTTGGCAGGGGTTTTATTTGGGACCTGATGAAGAACAGTGTTGAGTTTGAAGCACTTTGGATGAACGGTGGCTGTTTTTGGGGATGTTTTTGTGATTCTCAGCCTGAGCTTTGGCTACCATGGGTGGAACCAGTGCTGCTACGCAACGTCATCAAATGCGAATACCTGGTGCTGCAGGTCCGGAGCTCTGAAAGTTTTTATTTTTTGAGGAGTCAGCATGTAGTTTCATACTTTTTATCTGTGCTTTATTAAAACAGGGAAAATCCTGTGAAATAACAATGAAATGAAATGAAATGAAAAATACTTTATTTAGCCCAGAAGGGAAATTCAATTTATCTATACAATTCAAAAACAATACATTGTTTTTTATTTATTTACTTTTTTCTGCCCTAATGTACATAATTATGCATATTTTTTCTTTAATACTGGCAAACATCTTTTTAAAAAAATGATATTTTTGCACACCTAGGGACAATTTAGAATCACCAGTTAACCTCAACATGTTTCTGGACTGTGGGAGGAAGCCGGAGAACCTGGAGAGAACCCACGCTGCACGGTCAAAAGGTAAATTTTGACTGGGAAAAAGAAGAAATAGGACAAAACTGAACACAACATCCAAATCAAATAGTTTACAAATATGGATGCACATAGTAATTTGTTCATATTCAGCTTGTAAAAGTAAACTGTTTCTCTGTATTTCAATCAGCTAATAATATCATTATTTTACAGGTAATTCCTTTTATTTTTACAGTTTCTGAATGTTACATTGCTCCCTCAGTTTTAAATAGATTTTTTCCTGGCATTCTTGGAGGCAGATTTTCACTTTTTTAATTTTCTTTTTTACAGGGTATTTTTAATATTATCAAACAGATCACAAATCGCCTCAAAAGCATTTTTAAGGATAATGTCATAAATAACAATTTCATAATGATGACTTGATTTATGTAGCACAGTTCATTCAGCAAGTGAAACTTTAGATTACTAAAAGAAAATGTAATTATAATAATAGCGATAAAACGCCCATAATATACGTAGTAAATAGTTTTGATAACAGCTAATTACCGATTTTTAACTATTAGAGACTCCGTACAAATTAATATATGTGTCTGTTTAGATTTTAATAAAATACGTGTCCCATGTTGCTGCCAATGAATCGGTCCGACCCTCTTTCTGCTCCGACCCCCTTCCTGTTCCGTCCCTCTTTCTGTTCCGGGCGACAGGGTACCAGCAGTAAACATGGCGGAGGAACTGCTGGAAACAGTGGAGAGACTTCAGTCCCGGCTCCTGGAGACTCCGGAGCCTCGAAAGGTAACGACTCGTCCGGTCGACACGGACACGTTCGGTCTTCAGCACCGACCGTCTCCTCAAATATCACCGGAGCCGAGAAATTGACCGAAGCAGCGGAGACGCAGCTCCCGAAAGTCGCAACGGTTTTTTAAATGCTGCGTTCACGGACCGCTGTCTGGCTTCGTGTTCCCAAAGAGTTTAAAGGAAAGAAGCGTTCAGCTGATTTTCTGCTCCGACTGTGGAGCTTTAGCAGCTTTATTTATGAGCTACAATTCGAATTTTCGATTATAAAAATGAACTAAGGTCCGAAAACTTCTCCACCAATAAAACAACACATGACAGACTAGTTAAAGACTACAGGCTTCAATTAAATGTTGTTGTCTCATTTGATTCAGTTGTTAGTGACACAGGATTCATATTTCACATTCATTGTGATGACAGATTTGATCACAACTTTCTAGAGGGTAAAATAAAAATCTTGAATATGTAATATGAGGCTAAAATTGACCAACTTGCTCTTTGCCAATAGATCTTTGGGATTCTGATCAGTAGTATTTCATAGACACAACACATTAATTAAAAATTAGTGTGAATAATAAATACTATTTATTACAGGAGGCAGCTAGAGTCTGTGCATCTTTTATGCACTAAAAAGACTAACTGGACACCAATATCCCATCATAAACATTAATTTCAGTTGTATTTATTACTTTTTTAGTTAGTCGTGCTGTTTGAATAAGTTTTTCTCCGTGACACTAAGTAGATGTTAAACAATACATTTACAAACAGCAAGGCAGCACAATGAAGGTATTACTCATTGTTATGTATGAATGCGTAGAAAACTATAACGACCAGAATTAAAAATAAAATGGATTATTTTGAATATTAATACATGAAATAAGCAAAGAAAAAAAAGTCGAATGAGAAGTGAAACACATATAGAAAAACAAATAATTTGTCTTCTGTAGTTTTAAAACTGAAATGTGATCGACCAGCTTTGTTGTAAAAAGGATTAAGAATCACAGTTTGTGTGAGATTTTGGCTTGTTTATCAAATCAAGCACATTTCAAAACAACTGGAGTCGACCATCGTGCTGTACATGTCATAAGACAGGCAGCGGCAGAAATATGTGCACAAAAGCAAGACAGACAACAGTCAAATAACCTTGTAAAATAAATTTATCAAAGAAAATCTAATTTATTGAGATAACAGGACAAGCAGGATGATAACTTGTTCAATCAATTTTTTTTTTAAGAAAATCAAGATAAACTGATAAAAAAAGAAATAAGACAAAAAATGGAAAGACTTGTAAATGAAAATAAACATAAACGACCAAAACAAAACGAGAGAAAACGGGATAATAACTTGTGAACTCAGTTTCTGACCTGAAATAAAATAAAATACTACAAAATTAGGGACCACTAAGAGCAACCAAAACTCACTTAATATGTTTATATAATATTTTACATTAATTTATAAGCCTGTTGTTGTCATGCTTAACACATGTGTGTTAAACATGCGCATTATAATTTTGTTTAGACCATTTTTTTATTTGCTTCTCTTGTAGCTGAAGTTAACGGCAAGAAGCATTTCAGCATCTAGTGTTTTGAAATTGAATCGTATGAATGAAATAATTAGATAAATGTGTATTTCAGATGTTCTTCTCATGTAGAGTAATAAATAATTTATTAATCATAACACTTTGGAAGGAAAAACAAATACTGAACATGCTGTCCTTGCAGTTCCAACATGTCCGACAGCCCGTGAACGCACCGTGGGACGTCACTGTAATTAAGGATTTTTAACTTGTTCTAACGCGTTTATTTAACGCATGTTTTCACCTGAAACTAACACCTGTCAGCTCGCCACTACACCTGAGCCCAGGTGGTCCGTCGCTGATCGCAGCAGCGACACCGAACACGACGTGGTTTGTCTTTAAGACCAAACTCCAGGCCGGAGTAGCCGTTAGCAACCGGCTAGCTGGCGGAAAGTAGTGACAGATGAGCGGCTGCAGGCCTCCGGTGCTGATCCGCTCCCGGTCAACGGAGGCTTTAATTACAGCCGAGCGTCAAAACGCAGGATCTGCCGATAAAATAGCGACGTTTAACGGCCTGTGAATGATCAGAAACGGGGTCCGGGATCCCCTTTGTTTACTGCCGTGATGTGACAAAGCAGTGTCGGTGTGTGTGTGGTGGGTCTGGTGAACTGGAGCCATGTTTCAGGAATTTTAATTTTAATTTATTATTAATAATAATAATAATAATAATAATAATAATAATAATAATAATAATAATAATAATAATAAAATATTAGTGATTTTACAGCTCAGCCACTTAAATCTATAACATCATGCAGGACTGAGTTACTGCTGCAGAGTCAATTACTGCAAGTTTAATTTAATTTTAGGAGACACACTGCAAGTAAATAGGCTAAAATATTCAACTAATATTTAGATATCGCCATGAAACTTCCCCCAAATCATTATTTATAATAAAGCTGTTTTTTTCCATTCCAAATTTTCTGAAATTTCATGTTAAAATATGCAAGCGAAGCGTTACACATCTAAAAATGTCACAATCTGCAGTAATTTTCAGAAACTCATTTCTCTTTAAATCATCGTATTTTTAGAACAGTTTTGCTGATGTGCCTGAAAATTTTAAAGCATAAAATATAGATATTTATGAATACATCTGTGAATTTTTAGCTTGATCTATCAGATACTTTCGGAGACAATCTTTTTTTTTTTTTAAATTACAAATCGTGCAATAAAGTGAAGGCAGGGAGGAGGTCGGGGTGGATGAAGGGCCCAACAAAACACAGGATTTTAACACTGGTTGCCGTTTGCTGTGTAGTCAACGTTGTTTCCTTTTTCCATGACCGTTATATGTCATTAATCATGTGTTTCTAATTATAACAATAATATTAAAGGTCCTCTATCCTCGACCAAATAGGGTCATTCTGTCTGAAATCATAATTTTAATCAGCTCTGATTTGCTTGAAACTTTATTTATCATAAACTATAGATATTTAAAATGATATATATAGAGAGACGTTTTGAATTCAGAACTTGTGCTTGTGGTTGAGTATTTTCACAATGTGGTATTATTGCTTTTACCTAATTGTGGATCAGCGGTGGATTACTTCCTCCACTTTACTGTGTTCCTGAGCTCCTGTAGTTTCATGATGGGTTCAAATCGTAGCAGCTGGACATTTCCAACATACTGGAGCATCACAGACTGAACCACAGCAGCAGCTGGAGTCTGAACAGTAGCTCTGTTAGGAGCAGGAGCAGCTGGAGATCATCAGTTTTAGTAATGAGCATTAAATGCATCACAAATGTCCCTTTCTGACATGAGATACGTAACATTTCTGCTTCATTAGTCTGTCAAGTGATGGAGAGAGTCACTGTACAGTGTTTGTCAAACACACAAGACTGGACAGTCAGTATCAGCAGTAATAAGATCACTATTCTGCTACTTAGATTTAACATTTTTCATACCTTTTCCCCTTTGCTCTGTGTAAACACGGCTTGCAGTTCAACCGAAAAGTGCCAGAATCTTTGTCACATGACTATTGGCTGCAGCCGAGTCACTGATAATAATAATATAATAATAATAATAATCTGCTTCGTGTAAACAGCTTGTTTTTTTTTTGTCAATTTTTAAAATGAAAAAAACAGATTTAGATGAAACCTCACAATTTTTGGCGTCCATTTGGTAATTTTTTTTTAACAGAACTGCATCAAACACACGATATGTTCAGGACCTTTTGAAAAGATGTAAATCCAACAATGTTTTCAGTTTTTTCAGTTTCTGACTCTGGTAAATAGTGTAATCTTGACATTTTTGAAAAAAGATAATATGCTTCTGTCTTGTAAATAATAATGCAGTTTTCTTTCTGATTTTCCAGCTGCTGAAGACTCTCAAAAGACTGGGGGAGCTCCCGATGACCGTGGACATACTGGTGGTAAGGAGTCATTGATTCACTCACAACCTGGGAGGAAGAAAAGCGAAAGTTAGTCTGCAGGAATGAAATTATTCAGGCTGCAGTGACTCGAGTGACGTCGAACCGCTGAGATCAGAGAGTTTAACCCATAATGACAGAACACCAGTATAGAGGAACAGAGATATGTTGCTCAGTCAGCAACTATGAGCACACGACGCGTTTCAGACCGACCGGATCAGTCAGCCGAAGCTGCCAGACGCATGTCGGCAGCTGTTGAAGTGAAACGAACACGTGCTGGCTAATGTCGGACTCTTCTCATGTGTTCTCTGGTTCTCTTGCAGGAAACTGGAGTGGGAAAGACTGTGAACTCTTTCAGGAAACATGAAGCAGCGGGAGAGGTGGCGAAAAGCCTCGTAGCCAAATGGAAGAAACTGGTTCCTCAGTCTGCAGACAGGTACGTTCTGCATCGACACGCAGACGGCAGCAGTGAGTGTCGCTTTGTTATCTGATGTCATGAAGTGCTCCAGAGCACCGGATCCAAACCTGGAACCTGGAAGACTCTTAAAACGAAGCATCTGTTGTCCTTTTCTCTGTCAGGAGACTAAGGTGTCTTCTTGAACAACATGCAGGAAACATATTGAGTCTTTTTCAATAAATAGACCTTCATTTCAGCTACTTTCACCTCGAGGCAGAGTCCTGTTGCTTCCAAATGCAAGCAAAATATTACCAATATTAGCAAGTTTAGCATTTAGCTTGCTAAGTGGTCATTTTCATTTTTACTCTGATTTTGCAACCTGAAAAAAGAAAAATCGTATTATTGAAGACGCTGGACTAAAACAAAATGGGGAGAAATTATATCAAAATACATTTGAAACAGGTCGAGTTAAGATCAGCCTTCACTGTTGAATACTTTCTACATATTTTTGAGATAAGAAGAAGCAAAGTTCTATATTAATTGGCAAAAATAAAAGCAAATATATCTGCAAAAATAAATGTATTTCTGTGCTTCTTTATGTTTTAATCAAAGAAGAATGTATGTGCAGTGTCTTGCTATGCCAGTGCTCATTTTGATTTATATCCATCCATCCATCATCTACACACCGCTTCGTCTTCACTAGGGTTATGGGGAGGCTGGAGCCTATCTTAGGGCGAAGGCAGGGGACAGGTCGCCAGTCTATCGCAGGGCCATTTTGATTTATATGAATTGTGAAATATTCCCATTTACAATCCCATAAATGCAGCAAAATACAGAAATCAATAATACAGAGTGACAAAGCAAGGATAGCTGTGTATGTCCTAAATAAAGGAAACATCAAAATATTTAAATTAAATGAAGTTTATTGACTTAACACACTTTACAGCTTTCACATGTTTGAGGTGACAAAAATATGTGCACAAAGGTGAAAATACGATTAAAAACTTGTAAAATTAATTTTTAAGACGTGATAGAATGAATATAAATCACTAAAAAATAACAAGACAGAACTGGATAACAACTTGTCAGGTCACATTTTAAAAGGTCACATTTGAACACAAATTGTAATGATTTTTTTAAGCTTTTTAAATATTGAAAAATGTTTCCATCTTAAATAAATAGTTGAAACACTTTGAATAAATACACGAGTTCTTCATGAACAGCACTAAAAGAATCTTAAATCTGTGGCTCTAATGAAAGAACTTGTGATGTGTGAATCTGTGACGAGTGTTTGTTGAGTAGTTTGACTCACTGTTGAAACGTTTCTTATCGCTCTGCGCTGAACGTCGCTGCAGCTCAGATCCAGGATGCTGTGATGTCACTGTTACAGGTGACCACACCTGGCAGAGCCGCTCGCTCAGACACACAACCGACTGTTTTAATTCTGATGTATGGATAACAACAGCTCTCAGACGTCTGTCATCTTTTATCAGCTCATGGTGTTTATGAGTCACATTTACTCATGTGTTGTACTGAAGTTTTAAAGTGTGTTTACTGAGTTTTGCTATTTTTGAAACTTTAAACTTCTACTTCATCATATTTCAGAATTTAATTCAACTACATTCATTAGTTAAATTATAAATTAGGATGTTTGCTTAGATTATTACTATTGAATTTCCCTTCTGGGATAAATAAAGTATTTTTCATTTCATTTCATTACCTTAACAGTTACTACACGTCAAATTAATCCATTAATTAATGGACACAAGCTTCTTTGGCGACTATTTTATTTAGTTTTATTAACAATATACTTCACTTTTACAACAAGTAGACAGTGGAGACATTATGGCTTAAAACACAAAATACTAGGAATGTCTTAGCAACGTTTTTCTGTTTGTTTGCTCCCAAAACTGAGTTATTTAATATTTAATGTCCGACAATACCAGTTAATTTTTCTGCCCTCAATATACATAATTTGTCTTTCAAATAACATGCATTATCCCCCCTTTGTTTTTGCTAATTAAAATACAAAACAACAGTCATTTTGTGGCTAAATATTATATATAAACATTTTTTTAAAATGTAAAATAAAGCCTGTGAAAATAACCACAAATATCTGTAAAATAATTAAATATTTTGCTGTTTTGAATACAGTAAAAAAAAAAAAAAAAAGTGTAATTTATGGTTAAGGAGACAAAAAATAATGTTTATTAGAATACAGATTCTTAATGTGGACATAATGTAGAGTTTTGGCCTGTTATGATTTTTTTAAATATTTTTTTTTTTTACTGTGAACGTGTAAATTAAATGATAAAATTGTAAAATTCACAAGGTAATAAATTAGTTTATAGATTTTTTTTTAACTAGATGTCTGTAATTTAATAAAATGAGAAAAATCTGCAAAATAACAGCAAATTGTTAGGAAAAAAAAGAAAATACAGGTACAAATGTTTAAAAGGAAAAAAAAAAATAATTTTTTGCAGTTCAGCTTCTCAGATATTTTACTGATTTTAAGGGAGGACACGAGGAAGCATCAGAATCAGTTTAACCACCAAGTAGCATTATTACATGTGAGAAATTACAGTTAGCACAAAGTAGAGAATTTTTAAAGAAGGATAAACAAAGATTAATAAAGAAAGCTGGTACTGTAAGTCTAATAAGGAACAAGTGTAGCCTATCCAGGGAATATATGATTAAAAAAAGTAGGAGAAATATGCAAAATATTTATCTGGGTTTGTGCAAATTTGCATAAATTGTAACAACATCACCTGTGAGTTGTGTTCATATGTGGATTTCTCTCCACCTCAGACCCAACAGTCACGCCAAAGAAGCCTCCCGGTCACATGCACACTCTCGAGGCCACGAGGGCGGAGGAGGAGGAGGAGGAGGAGGAGGAGGAGGAGAAGGAGGAGGCCACCGACGTCCCAGAGACCCTTCACCTGAAGAGGAAGAGGAGGAGGAGCACTCCTACATGGAGGTGGAGGAGGAGGAGGAGGAAGAGGAGAGGGGCTACCACACCAACTACTCCCCTTCGCCTCCTCAACACGAGCAGTACAGCCCCCCACACCCGGGAGGCTATCAGTCCGAGGAGTTCGAGAGCCCCGAGCCCAGCCCTCCTCCTCCTCCGCCTCCGCCTCCTCCTCCCCGCAAAGACGTCCGCCACGTTAAACCCAACAAGGAGGCCGGCAGGAACCACCACAGCGACCGCAGCAGGGACGAGGAGCGGCGGCAGCGTCACGCTCAGGGTGGCGGCGACGCGAAGAAACGCAGCGGCGACAAAGACAGGCAGCAGAGTCCGGTTCTGAAGGCCGCCAAGCACAGCAGGAAGTCGAACACGCAGGACGGACGGAGGGAGGAGAAGAAGAAGGCCGGAGACGACGGTGAGTGATGGAGAGCATCACTTAGACAGAAAACAGTCCAACAAAAGCTTTTCTCATCTGGCAGTTAGACGAGTGAGTTCCTTCAAGTTCTTTATTCCTCTGAACTCCAAGCATTGGCATTTAAAATGTTCCTTCTGTCACATTTTTCCTCACTGTGGGCTCATTTTTCTCTGCAACATAAAGTCCTGCACCTCTATGGAACCAGAAGAGCCATGAAGAAGGAGGAGAATCAAACGTTAATCTGTGCAGTTGAAACCAGAAGTTTACAGACACTCTATAAAAAGACACATGATCTTTTATTCTCACTGTCTGACATTAAATCAGACTAAACTTTTCCTGTTTTAGGTCAGTTAGGGTTAAAAACATAATTTCTATTTGCTAAATGCCAGAATAATGAGAGAGAGAATTATTTTATCACTTTATTCAAAGTCAAAAGTTTTCATACAGTTTGTGGAAGGAAACCCGAAACGTTCGACCCAAGTCATACAGTTTAAAGGCAACGCCACCAAATGCAAAGGAAATGGATGTAAACGTCTGACTCTGGAGAAAGTAATAAACAATTCTCTCTGTCATTATTCTGGCATTTAGCAAACATAACTAATGTTGGTGATCCTAACTGAGCTAAAACAGGAAGGTTCAGTCTGATTTAATGTCAGACAGTGAGAAAGAAAAGATTGTATTTTTTTGTACAGTGTACTTCTGGTTTCAACTGTGTATATATAGACATAAATATATAGACATCTCCAGACATCTCCAACTGCGGTCCTCGTGAGCTACTGTCCTGCAAGTTTTAGACGTACTGCAGCACACCTGACTCAAATTAATGGATCATCAACAGACTTGTGTAGAACTTGACAACAAGCTCTTGGCCATTGCTCACACATGTTGCAGCACAAACAGTCCCAGAGCGTCTTCATGGCACCGTATCAATAAAAGAGGAACTCCACCTGATTTTAACACATCCCTTCTATTCTTTGCTTAACAAAAGCCTATAAATACAACACATCTGAACAGAAATGTCACAGTTCGACTGTAAACACTGAGGCTTCATGAAAATGTTATTATGTCTATTATGAGGAGTGCTGGCTAGAGCTGGAGGGAAGCTTAAATAAAACGCAACTCCTTCATTATTTATTTAAATCTCTATATGATGTCACAGCAACAACTGAGTGAGGATTATTTATGACTAATTAGAAGGTGCAGTTACATTACTTGTCAGTTGGTTCAAGCTTTAAACACAACCCTCTGGTTGGTTTGACAGTTTAACTATGAGTTGTAAGAGAAAAAGCTCAAAAAACAGAAGCTAAAATGATGATTATGTAATCGTTTGTGCAGCTCTGTGCACCAGAAACCACGTCTCTGTTTTATCAGCATCGATCTCAAAGCGTGACCACAACAGAGAGCGACATCCTGACCGGATGACTGAGGAAGGCTCAGTGTGGAGGAACGCTCGTCGACGTTTAGCTTCAGCGTCGTTTCTTTACACAATCTGGTGCAAGTTGCTTATTTTTGGCAACTTCTGAAAAAACAAACAAAAAACACGTAGAATAATGTGATTTTGATGACATGTCATAATTTTAAGCTTAGATTTTCAGGTTTAGTTCAAGGACCGTTGGAAAGTTGAGCCCTTATTTCTACTGTTTTACAGTTTCTGGCTCTGATAAATGTTGGGATTTCAGTGATTTTGTTTTTATTTTTTTTTCACATGCTTTTCAAACTCACTTGTGGGATTCTGCGGGTTAAAATGGAAATTAACATTTTTAAGCTGAAGATTTTTAATATTATTCTAAGTTATACTGTTTTTTTGTCACGTATGTTAGATCTCAAACTAAGTGCCCCCAGGTGTTACCAACACTGAAAAAAATGATGACTCTACATATTATAGACATTTTAGGACTTCAATTTTTTATTTGTTTCCATAATTTTGCATATTTTTGTCAATGCTGAGCCACTGAAGGCTTTACGTTTGCAGCAAAGTATTTTTGGCAATTTTCTAAAAAAACGAGAACATGCAGAATAAAGCAATTGTGATAAACTATCACAGTTTTAAGCTTGGATTTGATTAATTTTCAAGAGACAACCACACGTCACAGACGATTAGTTCAAGGACCGTTGGAAAAATGAACCATTATTTCTACTGTTTTACAGTTTCTGGCTCTGATGAGTGGTGTGATTTTAGTGATTTTTATTTTTTAAAGGTCACGTTTTTCAAACCCACCTGTGGTATTCTGAGGGTTAAACTCAATTTTCAAGAGAGAACCACACGACACGGATGATTAGTTCAAGGATCGTTGGAAAGTTGAAAATACAAAAAAAAAATATTCAGTTGGTACAGTTTCTGGCTCTGATAAATTTGACAATTTTCTGAAAAGCCAACACACTCAGATTTGCTGTTTTTTTTGGAGGGGGTTGCTAAATTAATTCACATATAAAAATCTTTTTAAATCTAAAACTATGCCACCTTATTAACCAATTTAATAACAGAAAATGAGTTGCTGCAGCTTGTGATCAGTAACGACACCCAAAAACTTTATAGAAGTTTAGTTTCAACTGGATCTGTAAATCATTATTGCCTTAACTTTTTGTTTGCATGCGGTGTAATAAATCCTACTTTTCCCACAATGCACTGCTTCCTCTGACCTTTCCGTCTGTGTTTCCAGGGCGACCACGAGCGCCGAAGGACTCTCCGTCTAAGGAGGAGGAGGAATACTTCGAGACGCCCACCATGTCCTTCGAGTCCTTCCTCACGTACGACGCCCCGACGTCCGTCAAGAAGAAGAAGAAGCCGCTGCCGACGTCGTCGTCTTCGTCACACAGCCGACCGTCTCACTCCTCCTCCTCCACGTCGTCATCCCATCGCGCCCGAACGCCTCCGCCTGCGTCCTCCTCCTCTTCCTCCTCCTCTTCCTCCAAAGTGAACAAGGCCAACGGCGCTCAGGGCACCAAGAGGCCACATTCAGGCTCATCGGCAGCACCGACGCCGGAAAAACGCAAAAGGGAGAGAGTCAGTAAACGCAACATGATTTCTGTTCAGTGAACACGAGTCAATATGTGTCTAGATTTAGTATTTCGGATGTGAAAAGTTAATTTCTTACCCCAAAGTGAGCAGTTTGATAAAATACTCTAAACTCATAAGGCATTTCTGGCAGTTTCTAAGAAAATTCTACATACAAAATAAAGCAATTTTCATTAAATATCACCATTTTCAGGTTAGATTTGGACCATTTTTTTGGATGGAACCACAAAAACACAGAACATTAGTTCTACAGATAGTCTCATTTTAGTTTTTAGGATGTGAAACGTGAATTTTTAACCCTGAATAGTGAATAGTTTGATAAAATAATAGTAACTCATGAGCTTTTAATTGTTTAAGTGGATTGTTTAGTTTGTAAAATGTCAAAAAAAAGTATGAAAAAGTGGAAAGTCATGCATTCAAACCTTAAATATAATCAGTCTGTTAACCTTTATGACATTAAAGAAGCCACAGTGGTCATAAAAGCCGTTCATCAGATCTGAAAGTACTTGAAGGACTTCACCGAGCCTTGAACCTGCCAGCTTTTATTTTGTAGAATCTTTTTCATTTCCTAGCAACAGTTGCTTCGTCCTCAGTGACTGTGGCGCAGAGAAAAGCAGTAACCTTGTAGATATCAAAGGCTACTCCGGGTTTCGAGGCTCTTTTGTTGTTCTATAACAAACCTAAACACAACCAGCTCACATACTTTGTCTCAAGAAGTTCTGTTGTGAGTCCACTATCAGCTGCCATTACTCTGGTTACAGACGATGAGGAAAAATGTTGTGTTTCATCAGAAGCATTCTTTGTTGTCAACCAAATTACACTGTGATCTGGATCTATTACCGTGTGGGTAAAACTGTTGACTTGTTCGGGTGCTGATTGTAGTTTGTTGCTGCAGCAGGTTGTCGAGGCGGTTCCGACTCTCCCTGAATTCTCTCTGCCAGCGATCCAGCCCAACTACAGACCTCTGCCCTCCATCGACGTCACGCCGCTTTCTCCTCAGAGACGCAAAGGTACAAACCCTCAACTTAAAATCAAAAATTGTTTATACGCAGTTACATCGTGTTGCATCTCCTTTAACCCTCTGAACCTCAAACCCAGTCCTTGAATGGTGTGTTTGCTTCAAAAAATCCCCAAAATTACACAATTTAACAAACTATAAAAACAGAAAACTCACAACTTTATGTATAATGTGCGGCGTAAAGTTGTCAGACTTCACCTACATTTACTTTTTTCTTACTTACTCTTATTTATTTTACACATCTAACTAAAAAATAAATACTTTGCAACAGATTTTATATAAAAAAAAAACAACTTCTTGGCTCCTTAACATAACTGAAAAATCCAGGACTGACCGACAGACTGCGACAGAAATTTAGGGACTTTTCGGTTGAACTTCTGGTAGTGTTTCTACAGAGTAGACAGGAGACGTGTGAAAACCAATCAAAAATGTAAGTAACATGTAAAGTCACTTGGAAAATTGGCAAACATGTTGATTCCAGTTTTTTCAGCTTTTGTAAAACAATTGATAAGGCGCCATCTTTTTTTATTTAATACAATTTTTATTTGAGAAATAATTTAGCAACATATGTGAGAAAGAGAGTCATCAAAGTTAAGCTAATATTTTAATAAAAACTTGAATTTTAATGTTTCTCCTGTTTTATGTCATAATAACTGTCATAATTCTGAGTTCTCTGTACTTCTAGTCCTGTTTCCATAGAGGTGCAGGACTTTATATTACAGTGAAAACTGAGCCCACAGTGAGTGACAGGTCCACAATGAGGATTTGTTTTTGTAATCTTTTCACCGTGCAGCAACTTCTGAAACCCTGGAAGCTTCTTGCATGCTCAGACTCATCTCAAGTCTCAGGTTTCACATTCATGAACGCCGTAATCTGGTTCTAATTTTCTCGTCGGTGTCAGCAGATCTGCCTCCAGGCTCGCTCTGCATCACGCTGCCTCACTTTCACTCCCTTCCTTCTTCGCTTTCAGTTCCCGTCTGCAACGATGAGGAGGACGCAGGCTTCACAGGGAAGCGGTTCAACTCTAAGATGGTGGTTTACTCCGGATCCAAGACCTCCTACCTGCCCCGGATGATGACGCTGTACGAGCAGTGCATCCGGGTTCTGCAGAACAACATCGACTGTAAGTGAAGCAGTTTGTGAGCCAACGTTTTTAGCCCCAGCAACTAAAGTTTAGTTTTTGTATCATCCCTCATCACTTCCACCCCTGCAGACCTTTAGATTTCTGCTTTGTTTCTTTAAACGCTCTGATAATCTGTGTAGAGACCAAGTTGGTGTGATTCCTCACAGAGGATAAACCTGATCTTCAGAGTCCCTCTAAACTGTTTAAGTGTTCATATTAACTCCTAATAATATAGTATGATAATTATTCTGGTCTCTCCCTGAACTCCACCTGCCTGTTACCTGAAAGTAGTGAAAACAAACACAAACTGGTGCCTGTGTGTTCTTTCAGCCATCGCTGAGGTGGGAGGAGTTCCGTTTGAGATCCTGGAACCGGTTCTGGAGCGATGTACTCCAGAGCAGCTGTACCGCATCGAGCAGAGCAACCAGGTAATGTGTTCGTAGAAACCCAGACTTCTCACTGTAAAACCGAGTTTTAAACTAGGGATGTCCTGATCAAGCTAATTTTTATTTTTTTTGCTCCTCATATGGTCTGATTAACTTAATGTTTCGCTGCTCAAGTCTTGTAGATCAGCTGCAGTACCTGGTTGTTCCACCAGGTGGCGTCTCCTCCTGTTTAATACTGTAGCGACCAAAGGAAGCGGGCAGTTCTGTGTTGGCTAGCAGAGAGCATTGTGGGAGTTTAGCTTGTCGAGGGGCGCCATGACAAAGTCTTCTGTGAGGATTAATGACCTCCAGCCAGTTCACAAGTGTTAAGTCAAGCTGGAACAAGCGACAATGTGTTTATTTCCCTGTGACATTTAAAAAAAAGAAAATTCTCAGTAATAGAAGTGAGAAATAGGTTGATTATAAAGTCCTATATTTGCATGAAAAACATCAAATTCTCCAAGATTAAAGTCATGAATTTACATGAAAAATTTTGTTTGACCCAAGACCAATGTGGACCAAAACTACTTTTCAAAGTTGGATCAACGTCATCACACCAAAGAACTAAAAAGAGAGTTTAAAAAAAGTTTAATAAAAACACACCGTCTTACAGTCAGAGGTTTTCTTGTAAATCCTCATGCCAGACTTGATATTCTGACAAAGTTTTTCAAAGTCTTTACATTTTTTTAACGTACAATGACCCTAAGAAGGCTGGGTGATCTCCTGAAACTGGAAAACAGAATTTTTGTGAGTTATATCTTGTCCCAGTACAAAAGATTTCATTCATTCATTGGTTGGGTGTGTCATAAAAAGACAATTCCAGGCCTTCAATGTCTAATATATAACGTTCAATGAATAAAATATACACCTGCGTTTAGCAGTGTTTACCACAACATCTACATATCTTTATTTAGTTGTTAAAGGAAGCAGCAGATGAGGTTAAAGTTGTCTGTAAGTTGAGTTTCATTGTTTTCATTGACAAGTGACACAATAATTGTTTTATTAACAATAATTTATTTGATGACACATTTAAATGGCTCTCCAGATCACCTAAATCACATAAAATCTGTAATAAGCAATACGAAGAGCAACTTAGTTTAGACTGAGTTAAAATCAGTATTGTAGAGTGAAATGCATTTGATTTAAAGTGAGTTTGCTGGTTTACAAAGGAGGCTTGTACGAGCATAGCAGATTACAGTGTGTGGATGTGGAGAGACATTAAAATACACCAGCGTTGTCCTGGTTCATGCAGCAAAGCAGTGATTGCCCAAACAGCAGTGATTCTTCTTTGTCTTCAGCTCTTTTACTACGTTTCCGTAGATATCGTCCAACAACCAGCTGCCCGTTTGTACCTGCAGTCGATGCTGACGACGCGAGGAATCACGTTGACTGACAGCGGATGCGTACAGCGTTTGTGAATTTAAATTTCCCTTCTCCCCCCATCAGTGTTTCACAGAGGATTCAGACGAGCTGTGGATGCGTCACTGTCGGCGCGACTTCAAGCGAGAAACTCCTCAGGAGTACGAGTCGTGGAGGGAAATGTATCTGAGGCTGCACGACGAGCGCGAGGAGCGACTGAGGATGTTAACCCAGAACATCACGTCTGCACACGCCAACAAACCGAAAGGTGGGAGAAACTTCTACTGGTTCAGCGTTACCATCAGGAGTACATAAAGTGGCAAAAACTGACTTTAATTCCCACAGATTGATGCTGAATGTTAGTTTAAGATCTCTGAGTGCTGTTTCCTCCGACAGGACGGCAGGTTAAGATGGCGTATGTCAATTCTGTCGCCAAGCCCCCACGCGACGTTCGCCGCCGACAAGAGAAGTTCGGAACCACCAGTTCATCGACAGCCGCCTCCACTGCAGCGGCAGCGCCCATCAAGTGAGTATATGCAGGAAATGTTTGAGGTCTCCTGATACATATCACTGTTGTTGAGTTTGTAAATAGAAAAGGAGAAGATTCTTTAAAAGTTTCTTGTACTTCACTAGACGTCTGTTTGTATTTGACTTGTACAGTGAACAGCAGAAGTGAGTAAAGCTCTGTGAAATGCCACTTAAATGTCAAATGAGTCATCGTTGTGTCACCTCACATTAACGGAAGCATTTCCGAGTTGACAAGTAGAATTTTCCTCTTATGAACAATCAAAACAAATACTCTAAAAGACTATATTGAAAATTTAGGCCCCAAAGTAGAAACTCAACTCAACAAAAGTGAATCCATCTGAGATCACTGAAACTAAAGGACCACGGATCATGAACATGGTTGTAAAATGAGCTGTTCACTGCTTTGGACCTGTGGACTGTGTCTATCTGCATGTCTGCATCACGGCTCCACATGGAAAAGAATAAAAAAAATCTGATTCTGAGACTTCGAAGAGATTTTAAAAAGGAAGATCAGCGAGCAACTGAAAACTAATGAAACACAGCTGCAGCAGTAATCAGTAGCTACAGAAGGAGCCATCGTGCCACTAATCAGAGCTGCAGTGGTTGTCTTCCTGAACTGACTCCACAGACAGTGAACTGCTTTCATAATCTGTAAAAAAACAGACGGCAGCTGTTTCAGACTTGGTCCAGGGGTTTTCAGTGGAAATCAGAGTTTCTGTGAAGCTCAGACAGTGAAGGACACTTTATAACGACAGCTTCTACTGAAAGCATCCAAGAAATAAACCTTTGCTTGCTCTTCGGCACAAAAGACAGAGGTTAACTTTGCTGAAGAACATGAAAAGAACTTGATGAATGTTGGAGAACGTTCTTTGGTCAGATGAGACCAAGATGAATCTGTGATCGGATGGAGTCCAGCATGTTTGATGTGAAGCTGACCAGGACCACGACAGTGAAGCACAGAGGTGGGAGTGTGATGATGTGGAGCTGCAAGTGCAAAAGCTGTTGAGTAGATGACATTTATAGACAAATGTTTGTGGATAAATCAAAGTACTGGCTGACAAAATGACTCTCAGTCTACAGAAGCTTGAAGAAGACGAATATTCCAGCATTCAAAGCGCAAAATCATGAGAATTTCTACACAACAGTAAAGTAAAATTCAATAGTACGCCTTTGAAGTATTTTAAAGAAGAAATGTTGAGTAATCCAACTCCTCCTGCAAAGAGAAGCTGGAAACAACATTTTCTTAAGAATGACAGAACATCTTTGGTATCCTTCATGCTGAGGAGGTTTAGTTTCCTGAAATGTGACTTTTGTTGTGTCGAGTTCCTCCTGTGGTGGCTGTATTTTTAATATCGGGAATCTAGACTGCAAATTTTTCATTACATATCAGAGCAAATACTCAACTGTTCAACTAAGAAGTTAGTTATTACTGAGAGGTGATACAGTTTTGAACCATCTGACGTTTAAGTGATGCTTCACATCGGTGTACTTTCTTCTGTTCTATGTCGTGTTTTGTCGAGTACGCAGTTCAAGAATAAAATAAGAATAAATACGACTAGAATTAACAAAACTGCTGATCAGCTGGTCACGCAGAAAGTCTACTAAAACTTCCAGTATTTTTTGTTTTATCATATATTCAACACAGCTTGTCCTTCTTCCTGTCTCCTTCAGAATAAGGGCGCCCGCCACAGACTACTCGGGTGAATCAAGCCGCTCCTCTTCCTCCCAACTCAACCCTTCGCCTGGATCGTCTCGCTCTTCAGCACCGAGTGGAGGAGCAGCGGCAGCAGCAGGAGGTCACGCTGCCCGGGACAAACCACAGGTCAAAAGTAAGTCAACTTCCCTTAACCAACAAGAAGACAAGAATCCTCCAGTATTTGCTCCTTTAAATCTCTTAAACTGTGTCGTCCCTCCTGCAGAAATCGCCCCCATGATGGCCAAAACTATCAAAGCGTTCAAGAACAGATTCTCCCGCCGATAGTGTGAAAGAGACTGAATGTATTTCATGAATTCCAACTGTGTTTTTAATTTAAGTTGAGTTAAATTTTACTGGAAACCCTCCCCCCCCTGCACACACAACCCTCCTCCACTTTGATCTCCACCCACCAAACACACACATGAACTTTACAGTATTGGTGGAGCAACGGTTGGCTTCTTCTTCTTCTTCTTCTCCTTCTTCCTCCTCCTTTGTTTTGTTTTTTTGTGGTGACTTCAGTGTCGGGGTGCCGTTAATTAAGTATTTAAATCCTAAATGACGGTCAAATGGTTTGTGTTTAGAAAAACACGTCAAGAAAGAAAAAGGAAAAAAAGACAACTTTTTACGGAACTCACAAACACACAGTCTGTTACCTTTTCTTGTTTATCAGGAGATGATTTTAAACAAACTCTTGCACATTTTTGGGGGGGATTTACTTGTTGCTCGGAGATATCAGAGAAGATCAGTGTCTCGCTGTTTCACCCGCGGCTGGCTAACGTAGCTTAGCTCAAAGACTGGAAACAGAACCTTTAAACATGTTATTTATTCTGTACTCACAAGTAAAGCAACAAAAAAAAACAAACAGCAATTTGTAGATTTACAGGGTTATAAGCTCTTTGGTGAAGCAGCCAACCAAGATGTAGTCGTATGCAAGGTTTTTAATTTTCAATTTCACTTTTTAACGTTGCCCTTCAGTCGGTATTTTTAGATGTTTTCCAATTTTTAAACCTGCTTTTGTCTCCCCCTTCTGGCAGTCAGGGTAATTACACAAATACTGTCAATTTGTGCTTTTTAAAAAGTATGCTGATTGATTTGGTTTTTAGACCGTATTCCTTCCTCTGAACTCTGAGTTTCTTTTTTATCTGCAGCCTCAGAAACTTTTTTCTACGTAGGCTTCATCGTACTCTGAGTTACCGCGTCTCTCCTTTTCATTGCCAGTTGATGCGTCGCTTTTAGTGCAAAATACAGAGAGACATACCTGGTGCTGATTGGCTGAAGACAGTTTCATACTTTCTATGTCCACAAGTACACGAGAGCCCACTTGACAATTTTGTCATCTCCCCGAATCTGCAAAATTTGGTTTGGACGCCTACTGTGCATGTATGGAACTGAGTCCTTCAAGCAAACTAGAAAGTAGTATGACAACAACTACAACAGAGTGTAGTCAAGGATTCAGTTAGCGTAATGTGAACTCATTTACGCTGACTGTAACAGATATTGATTTATCCTGAACTCCAGTTTTAAGGATGGACATGGAAAAGCCAAGAACCTCATGTCTACTCGTGATTGTTTTGAAAATGTGACACTGCAGAGGCTGGAAATTGAGCTAAAACGTCCACCAAATACACTCAAGTTTTGCTTTTCTTTCATCTGTTTTAAAGAATGAAGTAACATCACTGCAACAGTGTCTCCTCTGAGTCTGTAAAGTGATGAAATTAATCTAAACCTGCATTCTTTCTGCCAGCCAGCAGGGGGCGACTTATCTGACTGCAAACCAGTATAGATTGTATAGAAGTCTATGAGAAAATTCCAACTTAATTTATAACCTCTGTAAACATTTTCCAAATGAGTTTATGATCTCAATCGCTTGTTTAAAGTCCCCTTCAATACAGCATGATGTTCATTTTGGCAAATTGTGGACTAATTTAGAGTAAAATAGACGATAAAGCCCAGTACGGTTGAGGGTGAAGCTAGCTAGTGATGGATAAGTCACTGTCGAATGGGTGTGCCTGGGTTCTTCCACCTCCCACTTACCACGTCCGGTTACAAAAATCCAAAATGGCAATGGCTAAATGTAAAATGTGGGGTTTCACTAAGTAATGTACAAACCAGTGGACAACCGTATGCATCTTTTGGACCTTCTGTAGATGCAACACTGATGCATAACCTCATGTAAAATGCAAATATTAGTGAACTGTAGAGATGTTCATAGGCAGATTTTGTCACCGTCTAACAGAAAACGAGTAGCTGTTCACCTCTGTTTCCAGTTTTTGTGCTAAGCTAAGCTAACCAGCCGCTAGCGCCCTATTTATCAAACAGAGACAAGAGAAGTTAGCGATCTTCTCGTCTGAGTCTCTTCAAGAAAACAAATGAGCATTTTTCCCAAAGTGTCAAACAGTAAATACTTTTAATTTAAACAACAGTCATTGGTTATTTTCGTCTCCGACCAAAACGAAACACTACGTAGGAAAACTTGTTGTTCTGTCTCTTGCATGATGCTCGACACCCGAGACGTCAGCTGGCTGGTGGGAAACTCCGCTTTTTAAAGGAAACCAATCATGTTTTGCCTGGTGCATTTCTCAGTGTGTAGGGCTGAAATGATATCAATGACTTATTTTAACCCTGCTGTGGCTTCAGATCATGTTTTCCTGCTGTCGAATGTGTGCGTCGCTGTTTCTATCTGCTTCACTGTGACAGTTTGAACGAGAGCCGAGGAAGGAAGGTAATGGGACGTCTGCAGCTTCATGATGAGGATGATGATGATGATGATGATGATGATGAGATGTATTTATTTTCAACACTGGGACCTGACACCCCACAACATGGGCCCGAACGGAAGTAGATTAAAAATTGTAATTTTATTAGATTTTAATAAATGTTATATGGTCATTTTTATTAAAATTGACTTTTTGCCCTTAAACACTGTCAGTGTTGAAATGTTTTTGTGATCTGTTCAACATAAATCCAACCTGAGAACATGATTATCACAGTTTGATTTCTGTCTAAATGAGTCTACTGATTCACAAAGTCTGCAGAGGACGAGATGAAGTGAGGCAAGTTTATTCAAATTACAAAATATTCATACATGGAGGCAATTTAAAGTGCTTTAAATACAGCATATAATGTGTAGAAAGAAAGAAAAAAATCATTTAAAGCCTCCATTTTAAGTGAGAGAAAAACATTTTTAAATACAAAGTATAAAATGAATAAAAGTAATATGGAGAAACAGTCACTAGAGATGTGCTAAGTGCCCGTCTGTCCTGAAGGTTTTAAATAACATGACATTTATTCTCACGTTACACTGAAATTGGTCAGTATTGTTAATGGAAAGCATTGTTGTTTTTTTGTGAATGTGGCAGCTAAAATGCAAAAATCTGCATTTATGTTCTGATAACTAAAAAGTAACAGTGTTTTGGCAATGAAACCTGTTATTTATTGTGTTGGCGTAAAGCAGTTCCTGTTTGTGCAATTGTGCAACTTCATGTTGCAGCAGTAAACCTCAAACCAAGAAATATCCCTGCTGGTTCTCAACATGACTGACAAGGTAAGAAAGATATATATGTATATTTTTAAATTTAAATATTCAATGCAATATTTTTTCTCTACAATTTTCTTTTAAAAAAGAAAGAAAGAAATAATGAACCTTTTATTCTTCAAAGGAACAAAATACAGGTTACACATCAACGAATAAACATTCTGAGAAACGAAAGATTTCATAATAAACATTTTCTGCTCTTGATATTAGAAAATGAAAGCGTTTATATTGATTTTTGTCTGTTTTTATGGAATATCTTATATTAACGTGACGAAACGTTTTTGCGACACTTTGGACGTTTGGTGGCAGAGAAACTGAACCAATTAGAGAGCGGACCACTTCTGTTTTGCTCTTCGTGAAGGTAAAGTGGCCGCAATGTTGCAGAGGAGGACTTCCTGTGAGGGACAATTCTCTTTAAAGTAAAATGTGTGTTGGAACACATCTTAGATCCCTTTTGTGCACTCGTTCCATTACATTTCTATTTAAAGCTGAAGGAGCTGCTTTACAAAGTGCTCTCGAAGATATTAAAAGTCAGTTAAAGTGTAAATATATTAAAGGATAATTGCTATGGGGCAACAGTGTTTTCAGCAATAAATTGAAATATACACATAAAATTACCACTTGTGTGGATAAATACAGGTAAAATACACAATAATATAACTGAAGATTTGTAAAACACGCTTCCTAATTTGTTCATATGAAAAGAGTGTATTTCTGGTAACTTTTGCTTTAAATGTAATAGTTTAGATTTTCGTTATAAACTTTTATAAAACATTTCATTATAAAGTATTAACTACGAAAAGTCAAATAGAGTCAGTTAAACTATTTAACTGATTTCTTATAATGGTTCTACTTTAACTATATTCTTTTTATTGGCCTAATGAGTCTGTTTGTTCCACTAAATACAATTATGTTGTTGCTTTGATTGTCTGTTTTTTGTTTGTTTTGTTTTGTAGCTTCATCATTATTATTGCTTTGGTAATATTAACATAATATTCACGCTAATGAAGCGCGTTGAACTGAAAAGGTGTAAAATTGTCATTAACGGAAGCAGCTGGTTTTACTTTGAAAGTCTCTCCCCGTCAGTTCGTCGTCACTTCTGGCGCCTTGACGCGGACGTCGCTCCGCTTCACGCTGTGAACTGAAACTTGCTGATCTCACTTGACGTTATAAAAACGCTCTGACGGAGCGCTCTGCTTCATTTCTCCCGGTACTGTGGGACGGAGAGCAGCGGATTCAGCTCCACGATGTCCGGCCACGGTCACGGTCACGGCCACGGACACGGCTGCGGGTGTGAGGGCGAACACGAGCCCGCGGAAAGGGGCCTGGAGTACGGACTGTACCGGCGGATCGACCTGGAGAAGCTGCAGTGTCTGAACGAGAGCCGCGACGGAGACGGCAGGCTGGTGTTCAAGCCCTGGGACCAGCGGAACGAGCGGGACAAGGTAACGGCCGAGCGGAGCCTCTCCGCCGGGCAGCTCTGCTGTCAGAGCCCGCTGAGGGCGACGCAGTGCGGCTGCGCAGTTACTAAACTTTACTAAGCTTCGAGGTTCAGCTGGGAGGTAAATACACAAAATAACCACAATGAGACACTAAATGATGACAGAGCGACACAAAACAACCACAACGAGACATTAAAGGACCACAGAGAGACACAAAATGACTACAAAGACACACAACGGACCACTAAAGATCAAAATAAGATGTTGAACTACTTTAAAGAAACACAAAGAACAACAGAAGAACACAAAATGAGCAGAAATAGGCCCAAAATGAACACAACAAGACCTAAAATGACTAGAAAGATTCAGAAAACGACATCAGAGACACAAACGAACACTAAAGACTGAAATAAGATGTAAAACTACCTCAAACAGACATTAAAGAACCACAAGAAACCAAAATGAGATTTAAAATGACCACAAGGAGACACTATATGATGACAAAGCGACACAAAACAAAGACAACTAGACACAAGGACCACAGAGAGACACAAAATGACTACAAAAACACACAAACAAGCACTATAGACCAAAATAAGATGTTAAACTACATGAAAGAGACATTGAAGGAGCACACAGAGACACTAAGAGCAACAGAAGAGCACAAAATGACATCAAATAGACCCGCAAGGACCATAAAGATACAGAAAACGACCTCAGAGAGACACAAAATGAACACAATAAGACTCTAACTGACCACAAAGAGATGCAAAATGGTTCCAAAGACCACCTCAGAGACATGTACAACAATAACATGTCAAATGTCCACAAATAGACACAAAGTGGCCACAAAGATTCATAAAATGACCACAAAGATGAACTAAATGATGACAGAGCGACGCAAAACTACTACAAAGCGACACTAAAGGACCACAGCGAGACACAAAATGACAACAAAGACACACAAAGGGCCACTAAAGACCAAAATAAGATGTTAAACTACTTTAATGAGACATTAAAGGACAACAAAGAGACACCAAGAACAACAGAAGAACACAAAATGACCACAAATCGACTCAAAATGAACACAAGACTCAAAATGACTATAAAGATACAGAAAACAACCTCAAAACACAAAATGAACACAACAAGACACTAACCGACCACACAAAGACAAAAAATGACCACAAAGATACACTAAATAATGACAGAGCAACACAAAACAAACACAAAGGAGCACTAAAGACCAACATAAGACGTAAAACTACCTCAAAGAGACATGAAACGACCACAGAGAGATGGAACCAAACACCAAAGATCAAAATGAGACATAAAACAACCTTAAAAGCAAGTTAAACAGCAGCAACGATATATAAAATTACCAGGAAGAGACATAAAATGGCTACTAAGAGACTCAAAATGACTGCAAAGACTTGAAAGTGACCACAAAGATTTACAAAACGAGCACCAAAGACGATGTAAAAGGAGCTGTAAATGACCACAAAAGACTCAAACTGGCCACTAAAGACCAAATTCAGATGCACAGCGAGTTCAAAGCTACGTAAAAAGGCAACAATGATGTGTAAAATGACTACAAGGAGACACAAAACTGGCACAAAGGGTCACAAAATGACGAACAAAAGACACAAAATGACAACAAGGAGATGCACAGTGATCAAAAAGAGACTCAAAACAACCACAAAGTGGCGACAAAAATATGCTAAACTCACAAAGACATGCAAAACAACCACCAAAGTCATGTAAAATAACAACAAAGGTATATAAGATGACCACAACAGACCAAAATGAGACACAAAACAGCCGTGAATAGACATGAAGCTGCTGAAATGTCAGAATATTTTGCTTTTATTTGTCACGCACCACAGAAAACTGAATATATTTCGGTTGGTCAGACAAAACAAGACGTTTTAAGATTGCAAATGTTACTATTCCACTGTTTAGTCGCTTTGTATGGACAGAATATTTAACCAGGAAACAGATGAACTGATCATGAACGTCACCTCTGAGCAGTTTTATACCGTCGAAATGCAGTTTGTCAACTTTAAGTGTTTCTTTGTATTGACTGAAGATTAGAATAAAAACCACTCACACTGGATTATAGATCCAAAACCTTAACCGGACAGAAAAAGTCTATTTTAACTTCAACTTCTGATTATTTTTTTATTGCTGATTTGTCTATAAAATGTTTTAAAATAGCAGAAAATGCCACGTTGAGTCAGTTTTATTTGCACATTATGACGAATCACACGTTTGCTTCAAGCGGTTTTACATTGAAGTGATTTATATTCTCAGAGCCTTAATTCCTGAAAAGAAAACTCCACGTAAAACCCTTAAACTGATAAAAAAATGAAAGAAGTCTCAGACAGAGAAAGCGAGGAGGATCAGATGTTGTGTTATCTGAATAACATCTTTTATAATTTACTCTGTCTCATGCTGCTGCCTTCAAAGGTCTGTTTTTGTCCCAAACCCAAAAATAATCAATTTACCGTCATTTCTGGGAACTAAAAGGATAAAAAACCTTCACACTGGACAAGCTGGAAAAAAGTAAACATTGTCTTTCTTCAAGCTCTTCGTCAGTAAGTAGGCGACATGAAAAACCTTGAATCTGGCGACTGTCAGCGAATCAAACAATAAAACAGAAATCAGAAGCTGCGACTGAAGCCGACGTGTCTGAGAAGAAATAACTGGTTGTTGTTTTTTTTTGTCCTCGTAGTTTGTGGAGAGCGACGCGGACGAAGAGCTGCTCTTCAACATCCCGTAAGTCCTCGAGGCGACTTTAGCTGCTGCCTCTGCACACAGATTTGGAAAAGAACGTCTGCATTTGAGTGGATCATAGTTAGTTTTCCTAGAAACGACCACAAACACTCACCTGCTGAATTTTGCTCTTTAGATGCACAGTTTACCTGATAAATGACAAACGATCTCAAATCATCTTTTGCCTTCTGCTTGACCATCTCTGATTTGCTTTCATTTTTATTTATCACGAACTGTATGTATTTAAAATTGTATCTATGAAATTTTTAGTGGCACTTTCTGAGATAAAACATTTTAAAAAGCTGCCCGTTAACCTGCTTTCAGGTGTTTTCTCACAATTGAAATTTGAGGCTGTTGGAACGACAACATCTCAGGAACTATTGAAGATAAAAATCTGAAATTTTCACTGTTATTTCTCATTGATTTAAAATCTGTAGTATTGGACAATTAGCTCACATAAATCTCTGAATATGGATGATTTGAAATATTACAAAAATTGAAGCCGTCGTGAAAAGTTTTTTCTTTGAACACGGATTAACAAAAAAAAAACTGGTCATGCAGGAATCAACTAGTGATGTTTTCTGAACCACATGTAGCTGCAGGTCACAAAAACACAAAACTAAACATGTAGAATACTTTTAATATGAATTACTTGATCACAAAAATAAAACGGTAAATAATTTTTGTGGAACTTCCATAACTGATTGAGCAGGTTTGATGACTTGGATCACAAAAACAAAAGTATCGGTAGATAGTCTGATCCAAGTAGAGTCTCAAAATGATTCTCTAAATCAACAAAAATTTAAAAAAAGGAGAAAATATATTTATTCATTTGGGCATATTTTTCATTTTCAGACCCCAATTTGTAGGCTAAAGAAGAAACTGTTGTCTATTCATTTACTCTTTGGAAGAGATGCTTGAAGCTAAACTCTTCAGTTATTATATATGCCAATGTTCTCACACTTTAAGCTGTGACTTTGGTTTTATCTTTTTTTTTGTTAATATGCTCAACGATGGGACTTTTCATAATAGCTTCAGTGTTTTTTTCATATTTGAACTCACCCATAATCAGAGACTGTTTGATTTACTTCTCTGATGTTACAGATTCTGAATTAATGACATGATATGAAATTTTAAAAAACAGAAATTTCAGATATTGTCGTTCAAATAAACTCATATTTCAGTGTGTGAGATGTGCTCAAAGTCAGTAAATATCTTTCTAAATATCCATATTTTGTGCTCTAAAATCAGCGGGTAAGTCAGAGATGGTCGAGCAGAAGTCGCTCTTGTGATTTTGCCCCAAAGCGTCTCTGGTTGTATCTTCATCTTGTGTTTTCGCTCTCGGCCTGCTGACTCCGTTTCCTCTCTTTCAGGTTCACCGGCAGCGTGAAGCTGAAAGGAATCATCATCTCCGGAGAAGACAACGAATCCCATCCTGCTGAGATCAGACTGTGAGTTTCTGCTTCTGTGATCTCGACTCTACATGTTTGACGTTACGGAAACAAACCAAGCAGGAGAATCTGGTTTTGTTTTTCTAAATTAGATTTCGTACTTTGTTCATTCAGGAGGGGAGAATAAACAAACTCAGCTGTCTTTTCTTTTATTACCACTTCTACCTCTACGGATTCATCGAGTTTAAACTCTCCTGTTGTTGTTTCTCTCTGTATAGGTACAAGAACATCCCTCAGATGTCGTTTGATGACACCGGCAGAGAACCAGAGCAGGCCTTCAGACTCAACAGAGACCCGGTGGCTGAGCTGGAGTATCCCACAAAGTAATCAAACTACACAACTCAACAGAATACAGTGTGAAGCCCACGATGCAGACTTTCTGCTCTCAACATCTGTGCTTCTTTAACATCAGAATCAGAAATACTTTATTGATCCCCTCGGGGAAATTGCTTTCAGTTGCAGATGCTCCCAATCAAAAATCTTAAAGAAGTAGGGAGTAAAGATATTTAATAAAACAAAAAGTATTAATATGAAAAGAAAAGAAAACTCTAACACAAAATAAATATACAGTCTTGCTGTTGTAAGTCTATAAATGTGTTTCTATGCACATTTAGAAGTGTCAAATTAGAAAAAATTAATGGAAACAACACATTTGACCCACTAAAGGTGCTTTAAGTTGCTTTTTGCAAAAAAATTCACCATCTGACCCCCAAAAAATTAGTTTCCAAGTAACCCGGTTGTTCATGAACCCAAACTAAGGTTTGTGTTGTACAGATGCAGCTTTTAGATTTGTGATCAACTGATAATCTGCAGTTATGTGAAATATTATACGAGCTGCTTTTGTTTTGTAATGAACCCTCTGAAACTCAAAACCTGCCAGTGGGTTTAAAAGTCATGTCACTGTTTAAAACATCACCACAAATACACCATTTATTAGAGTCAGAAACTGTAAAAACAGAAAGAATCGTCAGGTTTTCAATTTCCCGACAATTCTGGAAATGTTCGTGTGTGACTTTCGATTCGTTCAGAAAGCTTAAAGCTGAGTATAAAATTATTAATATTTCATTAAAATCACAATATTCTACTGTCTCATTTAGAAATTCAGCAACAAAAAATAAATGAATAACCATTGGGACCAGATTTTGTATTAAAAAAATGCAGTTTGTGTTTTCCATCAGCCAGTTACACAAGAGATGCAGCTTGGTTGCTCTGAAATTCAATCTGATCATAGAAGCGTTTAAAACACAACTCAGTCCTCTTTCTCTTTCTCTTGTACATTCATTCATTTATTACACACATCCTGAACACATTTGCTTCGTCCTGTCAGCCTTCAAACGCTCTTCACAGCTGCATGCCATTCATTTCTATTCATACATTTTATATTTCTGTATATTCTGTGAGTCTTAGGGGTGTAACAGTAAACTAAAAGCTTGATGCATGTCTCTGTTTTGACATCACTGTTTGGTTTTCAGTGCAGCAGAAATGAGAAACTACATTAAAGTGCCTCTTTTCTTTTTTAATAAACACCAGTTTACTGAACGGACTTTGTCTTTCGTACTGAAGTCTGTCAATAATTCTACTAATAAAAAAAAGGCCAATTTAAAAGATTTACAGTACAGATACGAGTACCGTTGCACCCCTGGTGTATTTGATCTTGAACTGAATCGTCTTCTGTTCTCTCGCTGTTTTCAGGATCGCCCGTTTTTCCAACGTTCAGCATCTTTCCATCCACGTCTCCAGGAACTTCGGAGCAGAGAACACTCGGGTTTATTACATCGGCCTCAGAGGAGAATATTCAGAGGTCAGTCTGAGTCGTACACGAAGCGGCGTCAGTGTGCTGCATCCTCTCTGTGTTTGTTCTCTTTTCTGATCATCTGATATGTTTATTTTAACCCTCTGATGTGGCCAACGTGTGTCATGTAAACTTTGCACTGTCCAGCTCTGTCACATGAAAACGTAGAACTTTATTAGTCCTAAACGACACTCTTGTGCCAGATATTGCTTTAAAAAAAAAATGAGAAAAGCATCTCTTGTAAGACATACGTTTATCAGACAGCCTTTCCTCATTTTATTTGATTTGAATTTCATTCTTCCGGTTTTGTTTTTTTTTCCAATTTTCCTTCTTGCAGCCTCATTAATATTGAAATTCTGTCGTAGAGATCAATATGTTTGTGAGGACTAAATACTAGAAACATCTGTCAGCAGCACAAACTGTAGCATCAAGAAGAATCCAGTTTAAACCCTTTGCAGGACTGTAATATTAGACAGCATTACTTTAAGCGAGCTGTAGGTAATAAACTGGCAGCAGTTGCATATACTTTCCTTCCATTACCTTCATTAGTGATGTTATTAATCTTCATCTTGCTCCTTCATGCAGGAATTCAGTCTTGACTGTTTCCAGGAATCCGTCCTGATAAACAAACACTGTGTTCAGGTCAATGCTTCGTTGGGCTGCACGGTCGTAAATATACCGACAGGAGATTTTATTTTGCCTCGTGTTTCATCCTCAGGGCAGCGAATTCTTTCCTCAAATATTTGGCTTCTTTCTGAAGCTGCCGTCTCACTCCTTAGTTTGTCTGTTGATGCAACGCAACAGCTGTGAAAGCTCTTTACAAAGTCTGTACTTCTGACGCTGAGACTCACAGTTCAGTCTTTTCAACCATATGGGACGATTCTTTGTGGTTTTAAAGAATACTTACTGTCATCTTGCATGATTTAGTGGATGGATCGTATCCGTGCATCATCAGAACGACAGAAGCTTCTCATTTCAGCCGTGTGCAGCTACATCATCCACTGTATATAACCGGCTGTTTCTTCTCCTCAGCTCTGCCTTTCTGTATGTTTATTAAGTCTGAATTACAAACTGGTTTATTGACTTATCGACACTTCTTCCCACAGTATAATAATGAATCCTATATATATCAGAAACAGGTGCTGCTGTGCATTAAGAGGGGAAATGATTTGTAGATGATAGTTATCAAACTAACTAGCTACATATCAATGTTTTGTTTTTTTCCATAAATCGGTTGTGCTCTGAGGCAGAAAGCAAGACCTCGATACCTCCACCAGCTCAACATGGCCACATTATGTTAACGTCAACTCCAGGCAGTCATCCATCTTTAAATACGGTCCACAGCTTTAAGCTTCTGTCGCCCAAAACCTGCTGACAGATTGTATAGCCTTGTTGCGTTTTAAAAATCTCCAAAAATACATCGTTTACAAGAGCCAGAAACTGTAAAAATCAAAATAATCGCAGACTTTTCAACTTTCTGATGGTCCTTAAAGCACTAATGTGCAACATACCGCTCCATCGAAAAGCTAGCTCATTCTAAGCTTTTATTTCTAATATTTCATGAAAATCATTTGTTATTATTGATTATTTTACATGTGTGATTTTAAATATCACTCAAAAGAAACTGTTTACTCCAGATTTTGTAAAAAACAAAACATTCTGCATTCCTCAGAACAACTGAGTCGCAGTTATTCACTCAGCTGCAATGAAACATCACGTCTCGGTTGAACTGCAGGCCGTGTTTTAGCAGACGTGTGTGGAAAGAAATGAAAATATCTACATTATGTGGAGTCTCTCTTTTTCCTAGTTTTGCACAATTGGTAATTTTTTTTTCTAAAATACAAAATCAGTGAAATTCAACTTTTTCTTTTTTTTTTTTTTTTAAATGATTGATGGCATCATAACTGTCATTCTGCACAGAAGACATGTTTAAGTTCTCTCTCCTTCTAGTCATGGTTGTGCTGTTTCTACAGAGGTGCAGGACTTTATATACTGCAGTTAAAATGAGCCCACAGTGAGTAAAAATGTGACGGGAGCTAAAAAGACCCAGAAATCTCTCGTCCTTGCTGCCAGTTAACCCGTCTTCCTCTTTATCCTCTTCAGGCGCACCGACATGAAGTGACGATCTGCAACTACGAGGCGTCGGCAAACCCTGCAGATCACAAAGTGGAGAGCATCATCCCGCAAACCAACTTCATCTCCTGAGAGCTGCACAGAGTCGGGAGGAGGAAGAGGAGGACGAGGAGAGGTTTCACTGGCGTCTGCTGACTGTCAGAAAGATTCAGTTCAACGCTGCGAACGGCAGGTTGGTCGACTGAGACGAAGCGCTGAAATCTGAAGAGCAGAGAGCTTCAGGTTGATGGAAGTGCAGAGCTGTCTCTCTGTGGCAATAAAGCGTGAAGGCTTAATGTGGGCTTCATAATAAATGCATGACACATTTGACCCTCAGACAAATTCTGCTGTTCTCAGTTTAATCTGTGAAGTAAAGATACACATCACTTCAAAATACAGTGGCTCTCAACCGTCTGAACCCCAAAACCAGCCGGCAGGTTTGAAAGGTGTGTTGTGTTCAAGGTAGTGTCTAAATTATCAGCTAGAAACTTTAAAAACATGAAGAAAAGTTGGCTTTTCAACTTTCTTTCAGCCCTTGAACTACTCACTTTGATGTGTGGAAACGTAACTAACTGCAAATTGAGATGTTTTATCAAAATTGCTGTATCCTACATGTCTCATTTAAAAAAATTGGCAAAAATAAACTGTTTGCTTGAACCAGATTCTGTCAAAAACTAAAAATTCTGCGCTCCTCAGTGCGACATGAGGAAAATTACTGACTCGGCTACAACCAATGGTCACATAACAAAGACGAAAGGACTTTTTGATTGAACTACAGGCTGTATTTACACAAAGCAGATAGAAAGTATGAAAACTAATGAAATATCATATAAGCAGTAAAATATCTATAGTATGTAGAACCATAATTTTTCCCCAGGATTGATAACACATATGGGCACTAGTAAAATTGTTGATTCATTTTATTTTTCAATTTTTGTAAAAATAAAGAAAGAAATGTTTGTTTGTTTTTTTCCTGTTTTGGGGATTTTTGCTTTATAATTTTGTTAAGATACACAAAAGACATTTCATAATTCTCTCTCCTTCTAGTCATGGTTGTTCTGTTTCCGTAGCGGTGCAGGACTTTATATTGCAGTGAAAAATCAGTCCACAATGAGCAAAAATGTGCCTGGAAAAAAAAAAAACATCTGCCAGAAACTGCTGGGAGTTCAGAGGTTCAGAGAGTTAACTCAAACATTCATGGAAACCACACAATACCACTTTTTGATTAATGACAAACTTTGGTTGTGTTCAAAATTAGCGGCGCACATTGCAAAAATATCATTTAAATAAAATCAATAAAGAAACTTATTATGCTTGAGTAACTGCTTCAGTACACAGAAAACATGCATAAATACAGATTCTATGCCGTTTATGCTACTTGAGTGATTGTCAAATGCTTCAAAAATATAAATCCAACACCCGTGCTGCATCATTTTCCTTTTGTAAAAACAAAAGATTGTCTGCTAAATGCTGCTGGTTCTTTTCTGCCACCTAGTGGATCATTTTGTGACTGCTTTGTTTTTTATTTTATCTCTGTGATGAGATGAATTCCCAACAGCCGCTTGGTGGTTTAACCCAGTTATTTACGTACAATATTTGTAATCTGAGTGAAAGGAGGGTTAGTGGAGACAAGCTGCGGTGTTTTATTTACAGCAGATATAAACCAGCCGTGAGCTCCTTAATAGTACATAAACATCCGACTTTGCCTTTTTCCAGAGCTTTTAAACAAATACATTTTGCTATAACCTCATTAAAAAGTTTGCATCTCTTCCATACGTTCCTTTTTTTTTCTGAAGGCATTATGTCATTCTTGATTTCACTCTGTTATAAATGCAGTTTGTCGTCAGTCACTCTGAGTCATTTACAGGATTGTGTCGCTGAATGTGGAAGACATTTGGAATGTTTTAAGGTGTGTGATTTTTGGTGAAGAACTGGAATATGTATATGAAAAACAATAAAATAATAGAGAACTAACTTGTTTGATTTCTAAAATGCTCTGATGTTTTCATCGACTTTATTGTTGATCATCAGGTAGATATTTTGCAGTTTTTGTTTCGTTATAAAGCTTCTACAAGATTTACCGCTTCAACATATTTTGAAAATAAAGAATTTACAGAATAAAACAATTTACAGTAATTCACAAAATGCCAAGAAAGTTTAAAACATGGATTTAATTAATTTTGTGATTTGTACAGCTGTTGAACAAATATTTGAACAAACGTTGATTGTTTTAAACCAGGACTGAGTGCAGTTCTTTAGGGTTTTGCATCGTCTATGAAAGAGCAAAAATGTATGTTTAAATGCAAGAATTAAAGATTAAGGCTGGCAATATTGTATATTTTAGTTATTGCCACCAATTGTAATGAAAACAATACATTAGTCCAGCTTTCATTACTTCAATTCTCTGGTCTGTCTGTGGCACTCAGCCTTAAGTCAGTTCACTCCCACTGAAAACAAATCTTTCCAAATGGGTCATGAATAAGAATTTAAGTTTAGGACTAAAGTGATTTCCTCACATCGCTGGTGACTGTGGTGTTTAATAATAATGACTCAAATAGAAATATAAAGTAGGTTTTAGGCTTACCGGTGTGTTTTTAACATTTAGTATGTAACAGATAAGGTCTGCAGCGCAAAGGAATAAACTTGACAAGATTTTGAACTTATGTCAACAGCAGATGCTTCTCTGGAACATTAGAGAAATTAAACCAAGACTCAAAATGTACTCCTATCTGTCCATAAACCGTTAATATAAATGATCAGAAAATCTTTTTGCTGTCAGACACACACAGCCGAGACAGATCCAGACCAAACACAGACTCATAGTTGAGCCACAAAGACAGAAGGAAGGACGTCTGCAACGAGAAGGAAGAGTCACCGCATAACTGTTGAGGCTGTGCTTCGTCTTCAAATGTGATAAATATAGTAGTATAATAATGGAATACTTTAATCAATTTGATTTAATGATTTCAAACTTCTCAGATCTAGAAGACAATGATAACCAGCAAATTCTATTAGATTTACTACAATCAAGTCTTTTGCTCATTTCAAATCAAGGAATTTGTTGAGTGTAAGAAAAATGTGAAATATTACTGGACTCAGTCTGAGGGCACCTTAGTTTAAAACGTCATATTTGTGCTTAAATTAAGCGAAAATACTAAATAATATTGAAATAAACCTGAAACAGGCAGCTCGTGACCCAGAGGAGGGCGTTGCTTGGCGAAGACGTCCTGGCGCAGGGCGTTGCTTAGCCGTGACGTCATTGCGTCACGACTGGCCCCGCCCCTTGCCTGTGAGCGGCCAGTAGCGGAAGTTCCGCTCCGTCGTGAACTGGGACAGCAAGCGGTGAGTGTATGAATCCGTGTTAGCTAGCGGGCCGCGGGGGTCAATTTAAGCACTTTATGCCGGTCCGAACCGAGCCTTATCGGGTCGTTTAGGTGCTTAAGGGCTCTTGTAAAAAACTGCCGGGGTTTGAGGCCAAAATCTGAACCGTAGCGGCACCCCGAGGTAGACGAAGAGGGACACCGGCAGAAGACAATGCAATTAATGTGTGTACGACATTAGCTAGCAGCAGCTGCAGCAGCACTAGCCCGGGTTATTGTGTAGATGTGTGCCAGCTAAACCGGGATTAAACCGGAGAGTCGGTCCGTCTGTCTTTTTGGGGCAGCAGAGGCTTTGCTCCGCTGAATGCCATCACTACTGAGGATGAGTCGCGTATCATTGCTAAGCCATTCATTGTCCGCCTCGACACCCGCACCGCCCGCTTCCTCCGACTCTGCTAACGGTGCTCGCTCGGTTTATTTGCTAACATAAGTGGCTTTAAAATCGCTTCTGACTGCGGTGTGCTTGGTGTCGGCTAGCTGGCTAGCTGCAGCAGGCGGGGAGGAGGGTTAGCTGCTGCTGCTGGAGGTTGAGGTGGGGAGGAGGGGGGATGCCTGTCACTCAGTGCCGCATATTACCCTGTTGTTTGCCAGCCATCCGTGGCCGCTGAGCAGAGAGCAGTCTGCAGCAGCAGCAGCCTGCCGGTTGTGTGTCTGCAGCAGCAAGCCTCTGTTTCACTGTTTGACTTGAATGCAATTGGAGTCACGCAGGATGGAGACTCGTGATGTGCTTTAAGTTGCTGCAACACGGGCGGCTTTTTCTGTGTTTTCATTTAGGGCTGGGCAGAAAAGTTTCACAATGGATGTTATTTTAATCCACGTCGATGACTATTCATCGCCTCAAGGCTATTTTTTTTTTTAATAAGGGCGACAATATTTGAAGGTTCACCACTCTAGCTACTCATTAATGCGATGAAAAATAAATAAATAAATAAATTTACACATAAGAAAAAATGAATCATCGTCACATTGATGCACATTAAATTAAGAAAACGAGTGAAAACCGAAGGACACCCCTGGGTTTAACTTATCTCCTTAATGTAATGTGCATCAGTGGAAGCAAGCGAGTAAGATAAAAAAGGATAATCCTTTATTAATCCCACAGCAGGGAAATTTGCAGCAGCAAAGGGGATAGTGCAGAAAAGTAGGGACAAAGGTAGAAAAATAAAAATCGACATCACCACTGTTGATATTTGGTTCAGATTCTTCCACATGTGGAATTTCAGATGTTGGACAGATTGCTCTGAATGAGGAAAATACTGCATATGTAGAAAAACAACAAGTAAAACTTGGAGGTAGCTGTCCTACCACCTCGAGGTTAAGGTTGCATGGATGTTTTTTGATTGTCAAGTCTGTCTTTCAAGGGCAGCCGTAGCCTCCAACTGGACAGGTTTGTGGGTGCAGACAGAGGAGACAAAAAGCCCGACCGCAGACTAGCGCACCTCAGGAGACCTGCACAGGGAGAGTGATCAGGGCTCAGTTATCAAGCAACATGATTGGCTGTTTATAAGCCAGGGAGGGAGATGCTTTGAAATTCCATTAATCGATCAAACAATTTTCTAATTGATATCGATGAAGTGTTTATGGGCAGTAGGCATCACTGTCTTTTTGTCTCCCGGCTCTAGTTTAATTCCTAAAAGCAGCTGCTGTTGACTTAACGTCATTACACAGTCATCTGACAGCAGCTGAGACATGACTTTTCCTACTGCTCAGTCATAATTAAATAAGTCTCACTTAACTATATCACAAGATTTGATATCTGGAAATCTATGTCTGTAAACTGGGGCTGCACAATAATGGGAAAAAAAATGACATTGCGATATTTTGCATATCTGCGATATGAAAAAAATATGAGAATTTTCACCAGCTGACCTCAGTAACAGTATTTGGAAAAATAAAAAAAAGAATCGTTCTAGAATAATTGGGGTGCTTTTGTTAGGAGAGCATCGCAAATAAAAATAAAAA